AGGGATCTGGACGCCCGACCCAAAGCCCAAGTCGTGGTTTCCCGGTAAGCTCGTGATCATTCTTCGCCCACGAGGATCGCTCGAGTGTTCATTGCCGGCATTCCAGGTATCCATGAAGATCTTAGTGAATCGGTGGAACTCCTTCTTCCAAAAGCGATCCTTGTATTTCTGGTACCGCTTCTCCGGACTGGAGCTGGTTGCGGTCGCCCATTCCCTGCCGCCATCGAACAAGTCCCCCAGGAATAGTACCGAGTCGGGACCGAGCTCTTTTTGCAAGGTGGAAAACGAACGTCGCATATATTGGTCGGTGAATTTCACGGTCAACGTTGACAGGGGCCACGGCCGGCCGGGGTAGGTATGAGGATCAACTAGTTGGGGATCGGCGATGAACGCGACATGGTGCGGCACGGCATCTTGAGGCTACATATCACCACTGTTAGATGGATCCAGAGACAGGGACAGTCGGCGATGGGCCGTAGAGCAACGAGGCCACATACCCATTTCTCCCAATTTCCCCACGCACATGCCTTGACGCTGTCCTGGAAAATGGTCCGCTCTCCCCACCAAAGCGTGCAAGCCCAGAGAACCACCAGCGCATTTGTGATGGTGAATATACACCGGAATATTCTCCGTAGCAATGACAACGCCCCATCTCGACTTTGAATTCCATTTGTCAATTCCTTCGCCCATTGTTGTGTCCATGATGGTAGGTACTGTCGCATCTGTTTTGAAAGTGTCGCATTTTCCGTATCATCTTCGCAACTGGACGGTCGATAGCTGCCAGAGCCGGCGCCGTGTGAATGAGGGTAGGCGTAACTCATGGTCGTTGGTGCACAGTGGAGATGCAGCTACCGTCATGCGGCATTGCCGCTCCGATGCCGAAAATAGTTTGAAGCAGTTAGTAAAGAACGAGTCGCGACGGCATGCCTCGAGATGCAATATAATGAAGCAAAAGAGATGTAACAAGCGAGCGGAAATAGTTTGAACAAGAAAAGAATATGTGTCAGTGTGAGAGAATGAGTAGGTGAAGTGAAGACGCCAGGGGTGTTTCGCCGCCAAACGGGCGGGATCACGTCACGTGTGGTCGCGGCTTCTCCAGCTGGGTTTAGTTCCAGTTCAATCGGGGGTCCTGTTCCAATTTTGGTAACTGACAGCCTCCGACCGCGGGCGAACCATCGCATCCCTGTCTCACTCCAAGCCTTGTCATTAGTCACCGCCCGTCAGCATGTTCACTCTCTGGGAATTGCTACTACATACTACATAGTGCTACACGTTAACCAGGCGCCCGAATTTCTCGATAGTCATGCGAGAGCAGGTGGCTTGATAATGTCAACATATGACCAACATTTAGTACGGTGTAATTGTGGTAGAGATACTTGAAAACAAGCGCGAGATGCGCACGCCTGGATGCATTTATGTCAAAGTGCCCGCCGAACATGCGCCAAGTCCAAACAGAGATTATTAACAGGGACAAACTCAACAGATGACATTTCAGTCACCAGAAACAATCGGGTATGATCAGTACGGATAGGAAACAGTATTTTTAGGTCGAGTCGTCTTATGAGTAAGTGTAAAGGTGAGGTGATTAGATGGAAGAGTAGTGCGCCCCCTCCCTAATGCAGTCACAGCGACCTCTTCGGACAGCACTGACCGTTTTGGGCGCATTCTTCGCCACACTCAAGAAGACAAGCATGAGAATCTCCTTCAGGGACACTGGGTGTACGGCTCGGGAGCGTCGTCGAAGTGGAGGCTTCGCCATCGGGGTGAGAAGGGAATTGAAGGGTGTCTTCGGCATCGCTGTCCGGCGCGAATTCCGGCTGAATGGTGGACGAATGAATGCCATAGGCATGCAAGCACTTGCGCACCTGCCGGGCTAGACGCATGTACCGCTCCGAGCCCTCGCCCTTGATTTCCGTATCCACCTGGATGTGGATCGAAGCCACAAGCTTGGTGTCACTCAACTGCCAGACATGCAAGTGGTGGGAGCCAATTACTCCCGGCAGTCCTTCAATGTCTTCCTTGATATGGTCAATGCTAAGGCCGTGGGGCACAGCCTGAAGCAGGATCCGCGAGGCCGCTTTGCAAAGAGGGATGGCAGAACAGAGGATAATCACGGTGATCACCAGCGAGATGCCAGGATCCACATAGAAGCGCCAGGAGTAATCAGTCAGCCAGATGATCAGGGCGGAAGCGATGACGCCAATATTGCCGAGCGCATCACCCATCACATGAAGGAAAACACCTCGCATGTTCAGATCATGGCTATGGCCATGGCTGTGCTTCTCATCCTTCTGCTTAGGCTGGGCATGGTTGTGATGCCTGTGAATGTCCTCGTCCACATGAGTACGATGAGCCGTCTTAGGCGCATTCCCGGCGTCCGTATAGTTGCCAGCACGATCCTTGTGGCCCAATAGCGCAGAGCGTTCGGATGGACGGACGTCCTCGGAATCCCCACCCTCAAGCACGTCAGTGTCGGATCCCGATGGGTCATCATAGCGAGAGCGACTGGCCGCAATGATTTCTTGCCGCAAAGTGGCGGGGTGGACTTGGATCTCTTCAACATCAAGGAACCCACGGCCGGTTGCGCCGCTGTAGCGACGAGAGCTGCGGTGCTGACTGTCCAAGGTCCGACGACGGTTTGAATATGGGGAAGAGGCGTCTGCGCCAGCAGTACGCTGTGATCAGAAGTCAACATGTGTTCCTGAAATAGGCGACCGGCCTACTCACGCTAGTTGTGTTTCCCTGCTCCGAGACTGGCACAGGGTCATGACTATGCTCATGACCGTGCGAAGAGTCACCTTCTTCGATGTCTGCGTGACCATGGCTGTGGCCGTGTCCATGAGAATGATCATGGAAAAGGACCAGGCCGATGATGTTTGATAGCAGACCCAGACAGCCCACAATGCAGACAAATTTGGGATTCTTGACCTCCTGAGGCTCCACCAGTCTCTGTATGGCCTCCAAGAAAATAGACAAACACAAGGCGACCAGAAAGACTCCGTTGACTAAGGCACCCAATGTTTCTGCGCGTTGCCACTGCGAACCAGACGACGATGGTTAGGACGAGTTCCAAGCGGTGTGTAGGAAAGGGGACAGCTCACCCCATATGTGTACATCTTCGAGTTGGTTTCGCGGTTGGCGACTTTGACGGCCCATAATCCGACCAATAGAGACAGAACATCATTCAACTATGGCAAACAAGTCAACAAAGCGGTCGGAGGGCTGAGACGGTGTCGAACGAGGCGTACCATATGAAAGGAGTCGGCAACAAGGGCAAGCGAGTGGACGCTGTAGCCTATTCGAGTCCAGCAGGTTAGAAGAGCGACAGTTCAAAGATCATATTCGGGGAGACCAACCAGCAATCAATTCTAACAAGAAGAAAGCGGAATCAATAGCCAACAGGATCAGAATCCTGTTGGTCTTGGAGAGGCCCATCGTGTCTGGCCTTGCGCTCCGTGGCGCGCGTGGGAGAGAAGAAGATGACGACAGCGACCCCTAATCAGGCGGCAAAGGTCGATATCTAGGCGCAGAAAATGAGTGACTCCGAAGAGTTCGCGGTATCAGGATCAAGGAGGATAGGAGGATTGGAGAGGAGCAAGAGAAGAGCAAGAAAAATAAATCTCGCAAGGTGATAAGTAGCTAGTGATAGGAGAGACTGGAGTCCCAAGGATTCCTGGTCGCAAACCAAGGACTAGTTCAGGAAGGCGGAAGGGCGCCGGCCGATCGGAGCGAAGTGGCGTTAGTTTCCCCCCTAGCCTCTGCCGGTCCCCACCGCCTTGCAGCTTGTTCCTTTCAAGGGCTTTCTTTTTCATGAAGCATGCCGACTGCAGTGTGTGAGTTCTACTCCGTATCACAACATTTTCCCCATATGCTTACTGAGCTCTATAATATGCCCAAGACACTTCAACTCTTTTGTAGTACAGGGCTTCTGTCATCTACGTAGTACCTGCTGGAATGACTACTGCTGACCTCGTCCCGGTTCCACCCATACTTAGCAATCCAATTCCAGACTGTGTTGCGACCCACTACCTACAAGGCAGAGCCAGTTCTCTCCACCGTTTGACGCCATAAGAAATTGGTTGTGGTCCCCTTCTCCACGCCAAGTGTTCTCCTTTCTCCGGGCTTCTTCCCCGAGCTAATCCGACCAAAGTGGCTCCATCAATTGTGTCAAGTGAACGAACGTTGTTGTTGATAACCCCAAAATTGGCCAGGATCAGACCTGTCACACATTATGCAGCATACCACATCATGACGCAAGAGCAGAGAGACTTTATGCGGTGCGGCTGCCCTGCCTACAGCCCTGGAACGGTCAAGGCGCCGTCTGTGCGCTAGCCCGGGAAACTAACCCCGAGCGAGCTAGACTGGTAGGACTAAGCCCAGCCGGCATTTCGGCGGTTTTTGGCCTCAATGCAAGACAACGAACGATCTAAGCGAACAATAATATAAGACTAGTAGTAGTACCTCACACTACTGATGAAGCTATTCAGAAATAATTTGAGCTTTGCGAGAATACACCAATGAAGGCACTCACGTTTCTAAGAAGAGGGACCACCTCCACTACTACCGGAAGATAAACTCTTCCGACTTAACATCGCACTGTCTTTTCGAGATCATGGTACGGAAAGTTTTTCAGCAGCAGACGTTCGAGCAACACACCAGCTCGAAAAAATTTCGCGCTTGGCACTCCAGAGGACTGTTTGTCATGATTATGTATACAATACAGTCATTTGCTTGGACGAATTCGACTGCAGACCCAGTCACTAGTTGACCGGTGGATTGTGATGGTGGGTGCAATCTCTAATTGCGTATCTCGCCTAGACGCCTATAACGGAAGATGCTCTCTCTTCAACCTCCTGAAGTGCTTCTGCGGTGAAGAAAGCTCTGTGTAGGACCCGACAGCCTCGGCTAATCCTCAATCCTACTGATGAGTAACCCTGAGTAACTTATAAACTGATGGGACTGGTATGATTCACCAGTTGACCCGCCATAGGAGTATTCCGGAACATTGTCTATGATTGAAAGGTTTCAATTCAGCTCTTCGAACGAAGGATTTCCTGATCCCGGACTCTGGAAGATATACTGCTCTGGGCCATTTCCAAATGTCTAGCTGTCACTGTGGACTACCTGAGGTATCGGGGCTATGAATGAGTAGTACCTGGCACCACAACCTAAAAATCATCCTTCCAGAGACTGAACAAGACCCAAGCTGATAGTCATCACTCTGCTAGAAAGAAAATCTGCTACGAGTAAGTGGCTGTCTCAGACCACGATCAGCAAGCCACGAACCCAGAGCTTCAATGCACGAAGCTACTCAGGTTCAGTTGCCATAACAAGTCGCTTGTAGCCTGTAGAGCGCAGTCAATCGACCTCAATAGTCTCAAACTGTATAGGGAGGCGGCGGCTCCGTCGCCTGAAGTTCCCAGATTTGTCTGCGATCATTTCTTTCCCATTCCTCGATTTCAGCACCGTCGTCACTACTCTCAACCAGATCCCTTTCGGTGCGCCTTTTCTCAGCTACTATTCCCTTCGCCCCGACCGAGTTATCAATATTCTCCCATCAAATCTTCGTTAGCCTGGGTCATGCCACCACATCTCCCTTAGGGAGTATGCAGGATCGCAGACGGGGTCTGACATACCTCATCCTTCCCATCCCTGCTCACAATCACCACATCCAGACTCTGATCCACCCTGCCTACCAAGCTTCCATTCTTCCAAACCCCATTCTTGGCCACTACCCCCTTGAGCTCAGTATTGACAATCACACACCCTTCAACCTCGCAGTTAACGAGCCGTGCCTTCTTCACACGGCTGCCCGTCACGCGACAGTCACTGATGGTACTTCGCCGCAGGGCACTCCCGCCTCCGATCCTCGAGGCTCTCACCTCGCATCGCGTCATCCACGACCACTCGCCGATGATCGAGTCGCGGATCGTGCATCGTCGGAGCGAGATGATATTCTCCAGCGTGCAGTGGTCGGCCTGCACAAATTTGCTGGAGGAGACGTTGGCGAGGGCGCAGTTGGCGAAGATGCAGTGGTGAAGGTGGGAGTGAGTGATGGTGCAGGTGGTGCAGGTGGAGCGGCTGATGCTCGTCGTTGATGGATGGAATGTACAGGCTGGGGCGGCAGTGGACGCTGAGGTTGAGGATGTGGGGTTGTCGATGCTATTCAGTCCACTGATAGTGACTGCCGTGAGAGCGCTCCGGGTGATAGAGTCCGAGGGGGTGAGGTTGGACAGAGAGCACTCGATTAGTGCGGAGCGGCGGATGGTGGGCGAGGCATTGGTGAGTGTTGTGGTGTTAGTGGTTCTTGATCCTGATTTCCCCATTGAGACAGACTTCTGAATAATATGAGCGGTGGAATGGATGTTGTTATCTTGTGGAGAAGGTAGGAAAGTCGCCGAGATTTATGCTCGCTGAATTTATACTAGTGGGTTGAGGTGGTGGGCTCTTAGGCGACGAGACGATTCAGAGGTGATATATATACCTCAATCCATGATGCCGAGGGTGATGCCTCGCATTGATTGCTATAATCGCCTGCATCAGGCTGCCAAATTTCCAAAATCAAGGGATCCTATACGAATGGTTGATATAGGTAAGACAGTTCTTTGTCATGCGGTCATGGGCGGTGCCCAGTGCTTCGCAACAGCTTCCCGATCCGGAATAGACTCGCATGTGTGGCGGGGAAGGGTGGGAGGAAGGATTACACGAGCACAGCCTGCCGGATGGCAACTCTTCTCGTCTTCCTATTATTCTGCTCTTAAACTGATTGCCTCAGGAGCAGAACAAAGCCAAAGCCCTGCAGGTAGTTCAGTCATTTCATTGCTGGTATTGCTGTTATTGCTGCCTGGGTTCATATGTGGTTGAGTTGTAGAGATGAAGACTAGATAAGGCCCCAAATTTAAGCTTCATCTATAAGCTAACCCCGCCGAACTAAGGCAGATCCACTCCATGGCCTGATAATGGAGCCATGTCTCCGATCTGACTAAAGCCTTCGGGATGACCGGGGCGTCTCCTTGCTTCTGAGCGGAGACTCATCTCTTTCTACTTATCCCGTGACATACCGGGTCATATCACGTACAATGGAACAACATTTCCAGGCCCCTTAAGCAACGATGGACGAGAACGCACATCCACACCGCAAAATCCTCCTGGTCGCAACGACAGGTGGTTTTACCCATGCCGGTATGTAGAAACCTTCAGGTTGAGTACAATTACTGACCAGATCCAGCTCCGGTCCTCGAACTGGGCAAGGTCCTCTCCGAACGAGGCCACACAGTCGACTTCGCAACCATGGAGCGCCAGGAGCACTGGACGAAAGACTACCCCTTCATCTCCCAACTGCATATACTAGGAGCCGGTCCGACCGAGCGGCAACTGAGCGAGCATTACTTGCGCATGCGGAACTGGGACATGTCTGTCGGCCTAGCGGGCGCCATGCCCTCGAAGTACATGTTCGACTCCTTCTGGCCGGTGACCTACGACCACCTCAAGTCTATCGTGGACGATCCCGCCCGCCGTCCCGACTTCATCATTGCGGACTTCTTCGTCGATGCCGTCAAAGACATGCACTCCCAATACCAAGTGCCCGTGGCCATCGTGCACCCGCAAATGCCAGCCTTGATGCTTCCGTGCAGCTACATCCCCGGACAACCGGGCTTCCAGCTGGACGGAACCCTCACCTCCGAGCACGCCTCCATCTGGCTCCGTCTGAAGAACGAACTCGTGGTCGTCAAGGGCGTGAGGGAGATCATCCGCTTCTTCCGCTGGACGAAGCAGATGCGCCGCGCTCACGGCGTACACTACTCCATTCCCCACCCCCGCAAACCCGACTACCTTGTCTTCATCAACTCGTTCTTTGGACTCGAGGTCCCACGCGACCTGCCGCCGCTCGCGGCCGTCGTAGGCCCGATACTCAGCGACACATACCCGCCGTGCGACGAGCATTACACTACCTTCCTCGCCGACCGCAAGAACGTTGTCTACATCGCTCTCGGCACGCATGTCATCCTTTCTATGGCGGACGCGTCCAAGATTCTCACCGCACTGTTTCGGCTCTTGGAGGCCGCCGTCATTGACGGCGTGATCTGGGCGGTCGGCCAAAGCGGCCGACAAGATCTCGACCCATCCGCCATATTCACATTCGCGACTCCCGTGCTACCAAATACCGTCGACAGCAACAAGGCATCCAGAGAGGGAACGATCACTCTAGCCGACCTCCTAGCCGGCCACCACCCGGCCTTCCTCTTCCCCTATTTCGCGCCGCAGCGCGCCCTTCTCGACCACCCAGCCGTGCGCCTTTACTTCACCCACGGCGGCGGCTCAAGCGCTAATGAGGGCCTGTACCACGGCAAACCCATGCTGGCGATGGGGATATTTTCGGATCAGATCGCCAACACGACGCGGCTGGTGCACGGCGGCGTCGCGGAGCCGCTGAACAAGTTCTCCTTCACCGCGGAGGAGGTCTTCGAGAAGGCGCGCCGCATACTCGAAGATGTCGACGGCGGGTACGCGCGCGAGTCGCTACGGTTGCAGCGGATTGCTAGGGTGGCGTCGCGCCGGAAGCACCACGCGGCGGATCTGGTGGAGGAGGTGCTGTATGATACCGAGCTGCGGGTCGTGGACGGAAAGGAGGTCCGCCCGATGCATCTGCAGACGGCGGATATGAGGATGCCGGTGTATAAGGTGCGGAACTGGGATCTGATGGCGTTGGCAGGAGTGGGGTTGGCGGGATGGCTAGGGTCGGTTGCTGTACTGGGGCATTTGGTGTGGCGGCATCGGGCGGTTGCGAAAGGGTTCGTGCTTGGCTCGATGGAGCGGGTTGGGGTCTATCTGGGGTCTGCTTTAGATGGATCTTGAGGTACATTTGTGGTCGTAGGGTGGAAGTAGAATCTGGTTATCCCGTGACAAGTTGTGGTTTCTACCAGCTTGTGCAGTACATCCTTATCATATTCTGCCTTGCGATACTGAGTGGAAACCCGGCCACGGACAATTCTGCAAGAACCTTGGTAAGCTATACCCCTTTCCAAGCATACCGTGCGAAGACTGAGTGGAGTCATCGACGTCGAAGCTGCGAGAATGAGGATCGACCGCATCCTGAGTGCTGTTATGTATGCACCAACAGCGAGTCACCAAAGGCAATCGTGCCCAAGAGATGAGACTAGGGGTCGAGACAACTCTCGACATTCCTCTCTACTACAAGAAGATCAAGATTGCAGGAAACTCCGATTATTCGATCTGGTATGAGACTCACATCATACCTTCTACACAGCTGGTAATAGTTGAAGCCAAGAAAAAGGGAATGGTGAGCAGCGGACTCGCTCAGTCAGCTATTGGGGATACAGGTTGTGGGTAAGTGTCCTTCCATTAGAAAGCGAGCTCGTGTAACTGACTTCAGCCTAGGGTCGGTTGTTTCCGTACCGTCACTGACGGTAACCTGTTAGACGAATTACGCCAGGTACGGTACCGCTTTCCATTAGCATTGAATACTAGCTATACCTAGTTATAATATCTAACTTCTCTAGTACTCGGTAATCACCTACCGCTGGAATGCAGGGCAGAAGAAGCTGATCTGGAACACTTTAAACTGGATGGTAGCGATGGCAGCTAAGCAGTCCCCTCAGGGTTCTAGTACCATGGAAGATTTAACTGAGGATGTATATTAGTAAGAAGACGACAACATTGTAAGGAATTTAATTTCAAAAAATACTACTCGGTGCTCAACTATAAAATTCATTGCGTGTGGGCTATTATATGTGTACAGTATAAATGGTCTGTTCTGCCATGTGATGGTGGACAGAATCAACCATCGCCTACGCATCGCCCCCCGGCTTTCCTTACCCGTGTCACCATAAGAGGGGATTGTCCAGCTTGCAGCGAGGAGGCCCTGGCCAGGGACGAACCCTGTTCTAGACCCAACCCCTGGGTCCCTCACAATTCTGAGTTGTCGACCCTGGCAGCGATAAAGCTTGTTTTCCCAGGGTTGAACCCGGCTGAGCCTCGGCGATTGCTCGCGTCGATCGAACCCCACCCCGCAACCGGTCCACGTCAACCATGCTCACACAACTTACAGAGTTGGAGGAAAGATGATGATGCATGAAGTCCTCATGGCGTCTGTTATCGATTGCTTATAAATAGCACCCGCCACAGGTCAAAACAAGCAATTCTGTTTCCGACCCTTCCGACGATCCCACCCCTGCTGATAGCGCGGCCTTATTCTGGCCCGTGCCTCCACTCGTGGGGCGCCTGCGCAGCTCGTCAACGGCGCGTTGCAAGCCCCCGTTCGGAGACTTATTTCTTGGAGAGAACTCGGCAATTTGACATTTGACCCCCTCCTCTGAAAAGCTCCAGCCCTGTTCGTCCAGGGCCATGAGTGCGAAAATCTTGGCACCTCCCGAGTGGGGCTGGTGAAACGGCCTGGCAGGTGGATCTTCTTCCATACGTCATGGCGATGGCATTCGGGTGTTTGCGATGGGGCTTCGTGGGCTTGACGGTTGCTATATAGAGGCGGGTTTGGCTGTTTCTGGGAGCCTCATAAAGGATCGATTGATGAGCTCTCACTCTTAATAACTAATCGCACGCATCGTAACCCTCTTGCAACGAGCATAATGACGGTTCCTAGCGCGGATAGCTTCGATTTTGTGGTTGTCGGCGGTATGTTGCACTCATCCCTTCCTTGGCGAGTCTTTCTCTGACATCCGACTAGGAGGTACTGCCGGCAATGTGGTGGCCGGTCGACTGGCCGAGAACCCCGAGGTCCGGGTTCTGGTAATCGAAGCGGGTATCGCGTATGTGATCCCCCGTCCCCCCCCCCCCCCCCAAGCCAAGCACAGTACGACCAGAACATTCGACTAAAGCAAACGAGGCGATAGAAACCCGCAAGACATCGAGACAATCACCACCCCAGCTACCGCCTTCGACCTGCGCGGCAGCAAGCATGACTGGGCCTACAAGACGACCATGATCAACAGGCCTTCCTACGAGCGCGCCGAGAAGCCCAACACCCGCGGCAAGGTCCTCGGAGGCAGTAGCTGCTTGAACTACTACACCTGGATCCCGGGGAGCAAGGGCACCTTTGACGCGTGGTCCGAGTACGGAGGGCCGTCGTGGACGTGGGATGGGTGCAAGGAGTATTTCAGCAAGGTGCGAAGTTCCCCCCCTTCATCAGTAGCTATAATGATGGCGACCAACAAGAAATCGTGAATCTGCAACAGCCAGCGACATACCACGATGATGAAAACCTGTATCCCAACGAGCTGGCCAAGATCGGCCGCGACGGACCGGTGCACGTCTCGCACGCGGACCTCGTCCCCGAGCTGCGGCCCTTCCGCGACGCACTCACCACGGCCTGGACCAGCGCGGGCCAGCCCGTCAGCGAGGACATCTACTCCGGAAAGATGGAGGGGCTCACGCACTGCGTCACCAGCATCTACCAGGGCGAGCGATCGTCCAGTGGCGCGTACCTGACCGGCAAGACCAACGTGGTCATCATGCCCTCGTGCATCGCCAAGAAGATCAATTTCGAGGGTGATACCGCCGTGAGCGTCACCGTGCTGGGACCGGACGGGTCGGAGATCATCATCGAGGCCAAGCGGGAAGTCATTGTCGCGTGCGGCGTCTTCGAGACCCCCAAGCTGCTGATGCTGTCGGGCATTGGCCTCAAGAAGGAACTCGTGCGCCATGGCATCGAGCCCGTGGTCCCCTCGGAGCACGTCGGCCAGAACCTCCTCGACCACCCGATCATGCCGCATGTGTTCCGTCTGAAGGAGGGCATGGGGCTGGATAGCCATCTGCTCCGTGCGGGGCCGGCGCACACCGCCGCCGTGCAGAAGTACCGCGAGAGCAGGCAGGGCCCTTACAGCAGCGGTCTGCTGGAGCTGGTCGGCCTACCTCGCATTGACGACCGCCTGGAAAAATACAAGGAATATCGGGAAGCGAAGGAGCAGAACGGTGGCAAGGACCCGTTCGGCCCTGAGGGACAGCCGCATTTTGAGATCGACTTCGTGGTACGTATTCTTGCCGGAGATAAACCTTGTGGAAGCGATATTCTAACAATTGGCGAAGCCCATGTTCTCCGATGCCTTCCAATGGCACTTCCCCGTGCCCACGGAGGGGGACTGGTTGACTGTCATCGTCGACCTTCTCCGCCCGCTCTCCCGCAACGGCGAGGTGAAGCTGAACTCCGCCGACCCGCGCGACCAGCCCAACATCAACCTGAACTTCTTCTCGAACGATCTCGACATCCTCGCGCTGAGAGAGGGGGTCCGGTTCGTGGACGAGATCCTGATGCACGGCGAGGGCATGAAGGACGTGATCGGGGAGGATTACCCCTGGCCCATGCCGCGCCACTCGGACGAGGCGATGAAGAAGATGATTCTCGAGCACTCGCAGACTGGATATCGTGAGTCATTTTTTGCACCGTGTGAATGGACCCCTGGCTAACGCGTGAATAGACCCGTGTGGTACCGCCCGGCTTTCCCAGTCCATTGAGCAGGGTGTGGTGGACTCGGAATTGCGCGTGCATGGCGTCAAACGTCTTCGGGTGATCGATGCATCGATCATCCCGATCATTCCGGACTGTCGCATCCAGAACGCGGTGTATATGATTGGAGAGAAGGTGAGTACTGATCCCATGATCCCGAGGAATTACCTTATGAATTGATGCTGACTGCTTTAGGGTGCGGATATGGTCAAGGCTGCGTACCCGAGTCTCTATCAGTGAGGAGATAGTCAGTCTGCTAGGGTTGGTGGAGCCGTCGACTGCGTCTTGTTTAATGATAATGTGTACATGTTGGTCGCTTTCTGTTTCATAGTATATAGCATGTTCTAATCCCTGTCATATTTCACATTGAACTTATTGTTTCTTGCTTTCTTGGGTTATAGGAACGAATCTCTGCTTCCCTGTATTTCCAGAGGTAAGAGATGTCACGTATACAGCTCGAAGCAACACGAGCCACCGGCCCGCAACCTCGGCCGGCCCACGGCGGTCCACGGCGCGCAACCCGCCATCGCGGGACTAACCGCAAACGATACCGATGTCAGATTCCCCGATATACACTACGTTGCGCTAGAGAGAGAGTAAGATTTCCCAAGCAAAGCTTCTTATCTCCATGCCAGTGGGAGCTGTTAATGTTATGTCCGTCCAGCCGGGCGCTAACCACGCCGCTAATCCCCCAATTCGGACATAGGGTATGAATCCTCCGGAGGTAACAGGGATTCATTGGCAAGATAACCCCGAGCCTCATCTGCCCCTCCTTGTTTTTGTGGTACTTATATCTCCACCTCCTCCTCAACTCCTCCCTGAAGACCATTATCACTTTACTCTCCTCAATCCCCAACCCCCCCCCAAGATGACCTCCCACAACCTCTCAACATGCTGCATAACGGGTACCCTCCACGAAGGCGAACCCAAGGGTACAATCCAAGACATTGAGAACAGTAAGCCCCCTCCCCCGCCCCTCCCTTTTACTTTAACCCCCCTAAGACCAAGATGCTGAATCCCCAACAGTCTCAACCTACATCACCCACCCCGCCACCGCAACGAAAAAAGCCATCCTTCTCCTCACCGACGTAATCGGCCACCGCTTCGTGAACGCCCAACTCATCGCCGACCAGTTCGCCGCCGCCGGTTATGTCGTGGTCATGCCCGACCTCTTCGCCGGCGACAGCGTCCCCCTCAACCGCCCCGAGGGCTTCCAGATCATGGAGTGGGCAAAGGGCCACCAGCCGCAGCACACCGATCCCACCATCCACACCGTCCTCACGTATATTCGCTCGACATTGGGGTGTGAGCGGGTCGGCGGGGTCGGGTATTGTTTCGGCGGGAAGTATGTCGCCCGGTTTCTGAAGTCCGGGGCGGAACGCGGGCTGGATGCGGGGTTTACGGCGCATCCGACGATGATGACGCCGGAGGAGTTGGCGGGCGTGGAGGGGCCGTTGTGTATTGCTGCTGCTCGTGAGTTTTTTTTTTCCCTTGTTTTCGGGTTTGGGGTGGTGAGGGTGGGGGGAGAGCCTTGAGGCAGACGAGAAATTGGCGAGGCGAGAGACGCGTGCTAATGAGATGGTGCTCTCCCGAACAGAACATGATCCGATCTTCCCTGCGGAGAAGAGACGCGAGAGCGAGGAGATCCTGGGCAAGAAGGATCAGGCCTGGCAGATTAGTGTGTACTCCGACGTGGAGCATGGGTTTGCGGTGCGCGGGGATCCCAAGGTGCCGCGGGCGCGGTTTGCGAAGGAGCAGGCGTTTGCGCAGGCGGTGGCGTGGTTTAAGGAGTATTTGTGATTTGGATTTGGGGATTGCAGAAGGTAGATAGCCTGGAGGAAATGGATGGATGCCAAGGCTGGACTGGAATTATCTTCCGAGGATGAGGCCTTGCTGTTATCGTCAACTCAGGAAATAGTAGAACTACCAGATCAACCATCAACGATCCTCACATTACTAAGTTCATTGACTACTTCTCTACAGCAGCATGCCCCCCAAGCCAATCATATTGCGCAGCAACGGCCTTAATCTATGTCAGTAGCTGCCGATGATATCCTCATCCGGACCGCACACCCTGGTCACCCTCATGCACGGTCACGCCGTGCACACCAATCAAGCCCACCGGTCGGAGGATTCAGTCTGCAATAAGTTCTCAGCTGCAGAACCCCTCTTTCAATGATTTCACATGAATGATATGAGCAATATGATATAAGACAACCGTTCTTCCCCCTAGCATAGCCATGAATCGATCATTCCAACACATCACTTTGATTATCCCACACCATGCTCTCCGCTCTCCTCGCCGCCCTCCTCCTCCTAGCAGGCTACCTAACCACCACAACCCTAACATCGCGGAAAAAGCACCCACCTCTACCTCCGGGCCCTCCCCGCCAACCCATCATCGGCAATCTGAACGACCTCCCTCGTCCCGGCCAACAGGACTGGAAACATTGGCTCAAGCATAAGGAGCTGTACGGTACGTCTACCTCCTGCTCACAAAACCGCCCCACTCCATCCTGACACCCAAAAAAAAGGCCCCATCAGCTCCCTCAGCGTCCTCGGCCAAACCATCATCATCCTCAACGAGGCGCGCCACGCAGTCGAGCTGCTGGAGAAGCGCTCGGCGATCTACTCCTCCCGCCCGCAGCAGAACTTCGCCGAGATGTGCGTGCTTCCCTGCTTTCCGCTTGCAGTTCCACCTGCCCCAATCCATCGAGCTGACTGGCACGCGAAACCAGGTCCGGCTGGCACAACGTGCTCGGCTCCGTGAAAAGCACCGAGCGCCTCCGTGCCACGCGCAAGAACCTGCACCAGGAGATCGGGTCGAACAAGTCGGTGGCCCGGTTCGACGCGGTGCAGACCGCGGAGGTGGGGAGGTTTCTGATGCGCGTGCTGGAGGCGCCGGGGCGGTTGATGGAGCATATTCGCAAGTGAGCTAGCAACCCCCCAACCCCTTTCCCCCCTAAACATAGGCTACTGCCTTTATAACACGCGGCTTCCAACGGACCAAAAAAAACAAAAAACAAAAAGAAAAGGCCACTAAACCCGAGCGCCAGAGAAACCGGCGCCATCATCCTCAAGATCGGATACGGGTATACGGTCGAGCCGCACGGCCGGGACCCGCTGGTCGAGCTGGCCGACCGCGCGATGGAGGACTTCTCGGTGGCGATGCTGCCGGCGACGTACTTGGTGGATTATCTCCCGTTCTGTGCGTGGCCCTTCTCCTTGACGTTATGGCTTGGTGTGGATGTTCTGATCACCTGTGGGGTTAGTGAGACACCTCCCCGCCTGCTTCCCCGGGGCCAGCTTCATCCGCACCGCGCGCGGGTACAACAAGACCGTCACGGCCTTCAGCGACCTCCCCTACGCGTTCGTGCAGCACCAGATGCACCACGACACAGAATACACGCCGTCCTTCCTGTCCAACCTGCTGCTGCACCAGCCCGCGCTGCCCCTGCCCCGCGGCTCCGAGGCTGAGGTCACGGTCAAATGGTCGGCGGCCTCGCTGTATGCCGGCGGGGCGGATACCGTACGTTCAATTTCCCCATCCCTAGAACTTACCAGCCCCGGTTTCTAAAGCTAGGGGGTAAAGACCGTCTCCTCCATGGCCACCTTCTTCCTCGCCATGGCCCTCTTCCCGGCCGTGCAGCGCAAAGCCCAGGCCGAACTGGACATGGTCCTCGGCGCGGCGGCACGGCTGCCCACCTTCGCCGACCGCGAGAACCTGCCCTACATCAATGCCCTCATCAAGGAGGTCTTCCGGTGGCATCCCGTCGTGCCGATGGATCTCTCGCATGTGGTGACCCAGGAGGATGAGTATGAGGGGTATTGGATCCCGAAGGGGGCGTCGGTTCTGGCGAATATCTGGTATGTTTTTTTTTCCCCCCTTTTCCTTGGCTGGGGGCGTTTGAGAGTTGGGAGGGAAGACTAGAGAAAGGGTGTGGTGGGTTGGTGGGTGCATGGGTTTCGTATGCTAATGCGGGGGATGGGTAGGGCGTTCACCCACGATCCCGATGTGTATCCTGATCCGGAGGCGTTTAGGCCGGAGCGGTTCCTGCCTGCTGCTACTGTGACCAATGGTGGTGGTGGTGGTGGTGGTGATGGTGGTGGTGGTGATGGTGGTGGTGCTGCTGCTACTACTACTACTGACGTCCAACGAGACCCCCACCTCCTGGTCTTCGGGTTCGGGCGGAGAGTCTGCCCCGGGCGGACCCTGGCGGATGCGAATGTGTACCTGACGATTGCGCAGGCGCTAACGGTGTTTCGCATTCAGGGGCCGGAGAACGCAGACTGGAAGCCTGAGTTTCTGCCGGGCGTGATCAGTCATCCGGTCGTGCCGGCGGGGTTGAGGATCGAGGCCAGGAGTGAGGCGCATGCTGCGTTGGTGAGGGAGGTGGAGAGGGTGTTTCCTTTTGAGAAGAGTCATTCGGGGGAGTTGGTGGGGTTGTCTTATTAGTTTGATAAGCGGGTGAGTGAAGAGGTAGGGGCGAGGTTGGGTTGATTAAGGTATATCTCATTGGCTATTATACGAAAGAACAGATGTGAGGGGTAAGATTCCCCCGGTATTATTGTATGTAACATGCATCCTGCGGACTCCGGGTGGAAATGGAGTTTATTGCTCCAGGGCAGAGCAACCCAGTGCCAAAACGCCGTTCTACTGCATGTCAGTATACTTCGTCACTGAGTTGTGATAGGAAAGACTCACCAAGAGGTTCACCTCGGAGCAGCACTGCGGCTTCGTTGTGCAGGTGGTGTCGTAAGGCTTGCCTATACCCATAGCGTTAGCATCGACAATGACAAATTAAGTGGCAAAGGACGTACAGAGAAGACCAACGGAGCCGACAATGCTGCCAGCGTTGATGTCCAGATCCGCGAGGATGGGGTCCAGGAGCGGGTCCAAGGGAGTGGTCAAGGTTCCGCAGCACAGCACCGGGGCGATGCACTGCGACTGGTCGACCGTGCTCTCGCTCGTGGTAGAGGTGGTCTGAGCGGCGACGCCCTTGACTTGGTTCTCGAGGGTCTGCGTGTCGGATTGGGGGGCGGGCACGGCGGCGACGAGGCCGGCGACGGCCAGGATAGAGACGGTGAGGGAGAACTTCATGGTTGCGGTTGGGGTTGTGGTTTGGTTGTGTGGTTATAAAGATGGATGGCTTGCTGTGAGCGAGGCTTGTAATTCGATTGTGTTGAAGTCTTGGGAGCTAGGATAGACCGTGCTATTTATCTTCAGAGGAGGACTGCGACTCGGGAGAACCACCTTGGTATACAGCATCTCAATAACTGGAATACAATATCCTCCGTTATCGCAGTCGGACATCCGGATGGAAGCAGTCTCAAAATCCAGTCCTCAACAATTCTCCATGCAAAGAACAATTCGCCGAGGACAGAGGCCGGCCATTGCAGTGGTGGCAACGCAACTTTCACAGTCGATCCAGGATGGACGGCGAGACCTGGCAGAGAGGGCCATGCTGCAGGTACCGAGGGTCCAGGTAAAAGGCAATCTCAAAATTGAGGCGAGAGGCATCGGGCCTGTCATCCGTCCCTGTCTTATCAGCCACCCGGACCGAGCGTTTGTCTGGTACCAAATCAGTGGGCGTACCCACAGTAGCTGAACATCGAGGAGAATGTTAACAATGCGTGTGAGCGGTGCTGCAGACTTGGATCTGCGCTGCTTGTGAGGTGACAGTAGTGTATAGTATCCTTGAAACGATCAGAGTGTCGACGATCTTTGCTGAACAAGAAGACTAGTCTTAATGGTATGCACCAATTTCGGATGCGGTCATGCATAATTAACTTAGCTGCAGCTCCAGAAAGTTTGAGTATCGAGCAACCTCGCTTATCACAGGGATACTGAGGTAGATAGAGAGCTATTGAGTCGGACCAATAATCCTGATAGTCGATCACTGAGCATCTTGAGATTATAACGCATCATCCCCAACTCCGCTGGGTTTGGCGGACGCATCTCGACTCCGCGACGATCCCCGAACAAGGATCTGCATCGTTATCAGCATGGAACTCATCTCAAATGCTTGGGGTGATAATTACACATACTCACGTAGATAACGTATTGAGCTGTTCGAGCATGACAAATAGCAGTATAGCAGTATAGCCTACTCCGTACATTTGAGAGACAACATGGAGGCACAAGCATTGTGGACGGCACAAGCGCTGATAGCAGCCCGATAAGCTATACCCATTATGCACAATAATGACTCATCAGGACACACCCAATGTACACAAGTCCACCGTGGCGGTGCCAGCCCCACCAGCCACATGCCAAGCCTCCACCCGCCACAAACTCGCGACACAAAAATTCCCTCGAATTGGCAAAGTCGATCTCGTTTCAATATCCGTTGACCGACCAGCCCCTCCCCCAGACCACCACCTCTCCTATCTCGCTGGGTCGTCTATTTCTGTCATCTCCCCTTTTTGAATCTTCTCCCCCCCACACAGAGCTATACGCATAATCATGGCTCCCATCTCTATCGCCGACATCGTCGCCGCCCTGCCGGCCGACGACACCTGGGGCCCCGCCTCCGCCGCCGACAACATGCTCGACGGCGTCCCCTACGCTCCTTTCTCCAAGGGTGACAAGCTGGGCCGCATGGCCGACTGGACGGCCGAGTCCAAGGACGCCAACCGGGGCGGTCGTCAGGCTTACAACCGTAACTTCAGAGGTACGTTGCACACTTCCTCCGTTGCGTATCTCCCCTCTCTGCAACAGAGACAAAGAAAAAGGGGAAGTATCGTGTGGACCACAAAACTAACACCCACTCTCAAACCTCCAGACCAGCAAGTCTACGGCGCTGGATCCTCCAGCCTGTTCTCCGTGGCCGTCGCCGAAGACGAATCCTCCTTCTCCGTGGTTGACAACACCCGCAGCTCGACGAAGCGCACCTTCGGCCGCGGCGGCGGCACGGTGTTCCGCGGCCGGGCCCAGCGCGGCGGCGCCCAGCGTGGCGGACGTGCGGGCTTCCAGCGCGTGGGCGGTGGTGCCGGTGGCCGGGGCGGCGCCGGCGGGGACCGGTACTACGACAACCGCAGCGGCGGGCGGGGCAACCGGGGCCGTCGCTTCGGATGGAAGGACTACGACAAGCCGCAGCGGACCCGTGAGGCGTCGGTGGCCGTGCGGCCCGACTGGACGATGCTGGAGGAGGTGGACTTCAGCCGTCTGTCGAAGCTGAACATGGAGGCGCCCGAGGGCGAGGAGGTCGACTCGTACGGATTCATGTACTACTACGACCGGTCGTACGACAAGGCGCCGGTCAAGAACGCCGAGCGCCGCCTGCAGGCGCTCGACCGCGCCGCGTACAACGTCACGACCTCGCAGGACCCGGTCATCCAGGAGCTGGCCGAGAAGAACGAGGCGACCGTGTTCGCGTCGGCCGACATCCTGTCGACGCTGATGTGCGCGCCCCGCAGCGTCTACTCGTGGGATCTGGTCATCGTCCACCAGGGCGGCAAGATCTACTTCGACAAGCGCGACGGCGCCTCCCTGGACCTGGTGACGGTCAACGAGAACGCGGCCGACGCGCCGCTCGAGCTGGCCGACTCGTCCGCCGCCACCGCCGCCGCCGCCAGCAAGCAGGAGGGCGCCGCGATCAACACCCCCAGCGCCCTCGCCCTCGAGGCCACCTTCATCAACCACAACTTCGCCCTGCAGACGGTGGTCGAGTCCGACGAGAGCAAGGTCGAGCTGGCGCACCCCAACCCCTTCTACAACGCGGCCGAGGAGACCGAGCCCCTGGCCTCCAAGGGCTACAAGTACCGGCGCTTCGACCTGTCGCTGGAGCGCGACGAGGGCCAGGAGCCCGTGCACATGATCGTGCGCACGGAGATCGACGCCATCATGAAGAACCCCACCGGCGGCGAGGACCAGCAGCTGGTCGTCAAGGCCCTCAACGAGTTCGACAGCAAGGCCCAGGGCTCCGGCGGCGCCCTCGACTGGCGCTCCAAGCTCTGGTCCCAGCGCGGTGCCGTCGTCGCCACCGAGATGAAGAACAACTCCTCCAAGCTCGCCCGCTGGACCACCCAGGCCATCCTCGCCAAGGCCGACGCCATGAAGCTCGGCTTCGTCTCCCGCGCCAACCCCCGCTCCGCCGCCGCCCACGTCGTCCTCGGCGTCGTCGGCTACAAGCCCCGCGACCTCGCCACCCAGATGAACCTCAACCTCGGCAACGGCTGGGGCATCGTCCGCACTATCGTCGACCGCATCCGCGCCCTCGACGCCGACGAGGACGAGGACAAGGTCAAGAAGTACGTCCTCATCAAGGACCCCAACCGCCCCGTCCTCCGTCTCTACAGCGTGCCCCCCACCACCTTCGAGGAGGATGAGGAGGTCGCCGCCGAGGAGCAGGAGGCTGCCGAGGAGGATGAGGAGTAGATTTTGGGGGTTTATCCTCATCAGATATCCTAGTCATGAATTTGGTTCGCTGTGGTTTTTTTTTTTTCCGTCGTCCTGTCAAAAGTTCTTAGGTTTATGAACGACTATCATGCTTGAAGACTTATTTCATTACCTCGTAATTCACCCTTTAGACATATCTAGTCTCGTACACCTACTCCGTTCATTGTTGCATGCACAAGCGCTGCATACACAAGCGCAAGTCAAGGAAACACTGTAGTATTAACCAATATCAAGCATGTCATAGCTATGTAACTTTTTGTCATTCCATTCCTCGAACCCTACTGCATGATGCCCCAAGGAGAAGGACGCCCAACACACCACTAATAAAATCAATGCACGATCTCAAACCGCACCGCTTTCTTCACCCCGAAGACATCCCTCCATTCCTCCCACAACTGCCGCAACTCTTCCACATACATCCGATGAACTTCCTCCACGTAAGCCTCGTCCTGCACATACCGCTGCTCCTTTACCGGGATCGGTTTCCCGACGACCACATGGATCGGCTTGCGAAACGGGACCGTCACCCCCCATCGGCCGCTGATCACACGTGTCGACTTGCCAGTGACAGCCTTCCAGGCTTTTGCACCTGCCGCGAACAAGCCTCCACGGACACCTTCCTGCTGCTCCTCGCCTTCGCCGTCCCGGTGGCTCGACGTTGCCTCACTCCTGTTCGCACCACCGTCCTCGGGATACGCCACGTCAAAGACCTCGTTCTCTCCGAACGCCACCACCGGCACTAGGCTCGCCCCCATCTCGATCGCAACGCGAATGAACCCCCTGCGCACCCCCAGCACCAAATCCATGCGGCCAGGACGGGCGATGCGCGCCTCGCGATCGCCACCCACGCAGATGGTGATCGCCTGTCCCAGTCCGTTGCCGTCGTGGCCGCCGGATGAGAGTAACTTAATGCATGACGCGCGACTGACGCTGCCGATACCCAGCGAGAGAGCGTACTCACGCAGCAATGGGGCGCGAAGGACTTTGTCCGACACCAAGAGAGTGTGATTGAGACCGGGGAACAGCGTGTCGAAGCCGGCGCCTTTGGTGGCGAGGGCGCCGATGGCACCGCGGATGGAAATTCCGTGGGGGTGGTACCCGAATATGTACTTTTGATAAGGAGCCAAGGGGGTGCTGCGATAAAGCTTGAGAGGGAAATAGTTGGTATAGAGGGTCCAAAGAGGAGAGTTTCGGACGGCGGACGACGGGGAAGGAAAAGAGGGGAGAGAGGTGGGAGGGAAGTAGGTTATCAGGAGGACGTAGACCGGATACAAGATGCGAATGAGAAGCGGGATGGGAAGAGATGGGAGAAGGACGAGGATTAGGAGAGCGTAGCCGAGAATAGGAAGGAGGAGGGAAGTGTTTGTTGTAAGGGCGACGAAGAGTGTGCTGGCAGAGGCATAAACTCTGGTTCTTGCGGTTAGGAGTGCATTTTGGAGCAAATGCAGGAGAGAAGACTCACGTTGAGGTTGCATATTTGTCCAAATGAGGACGATTGACGGTCTCTAGAACACCTCCAAACTTATTCCTGATCGTGCGCAGCTTGTCCTTCGGATGTTGATTGACTTCCGGGATCGGTAAAGCCATTCTCTCCGGGTGGTATGCCAACTCAGCGATCTTCTCGGCACCTACAACCCGACCTTCTCTTTTGCAGCAAAGTGCAGATAATTCCTTTGCCTTGGCCTGCATTGTGACATTGCCAACGACCTTGATCAGAGCCCGGCCGAACTCATCTGCATCCACTGCTGGGGCAGCTGTTTTGTTTGCGTACACGCCGATTTTGAGCCACTCTGTACGCACAGCATTTTCATAACAGTCTTGCCAACCTGGAAGGACGACGTGAGGTATGCCAGACCTGAAACGTATTACTATCTCTACTCTGCTAACTGGAAGAGTGAAACTTACTGAATAGCCTCGTACCATGAGTTGGCACCACCATGATGTACGGAGCAGACAATCTGCCCTGTCTGCAACATTGCCAATGGCTCCACCTGAAACCATGACTGAATGCGCACCCGGTCGTCTTGGATCTCAGCAGCCAAAATTTCCTCCGCCTCTTCAAAAACATGCGCGCAATCGTGTGCATGCTTTGGAAGCTTCCACAGCACCTGGAGCTTATCCGTCCGTGAGCCCAGAAAACTCCTCACGCCTGAAGCAATATTCCTAGCCATCACTGGATCCGGCGCATACAAGGTCCCCAGGTTGATCAAGATTGTGGGTGCCTGGTGGAGCCACCGATGCAGCTCCGGATCCTGCGTCTTGACAGGTGCAACGGGCAATAGAATGGGACCACAGGGGAGGACATTCTCGGGGACCTCCATCGGCCAATCCAGCTCTTTCAGACCCGGAGCCAGATGGAATCGGTCGGGTCGCCACGAATCCGCAAAAGGGAATCGGCCCTGGATACCATGTCGCTTCCGCCATTCACGAATCTGTCGTTGACGGCCGCTACGGCGGTAGAGATTGGCAACATCCATGGCGGCCCTGGTGTTGGAAGGCACAAGGCTCCACGGAAGTGGATAAGGAAAGTCGGTCCCTGGCCTAGTGCACAGTCAGCTACCTGCATTGGTTCCTTGGGGATAGCATAGTAAATTACAAGGGAAATTTCCACGCCCATCCAGCGAAAGGCTGGAGCCCATACACCACATGTGACAAGGAGGTCGTATAAAGAACGATAGCCTGGTGACCCGCATTATAGGCCGCGTCTCGTCCTTGGGGGAAAAAGCAGTCGACGAGGACAACGCTCGGTTCGATAGCCTGGACTATCTCAAGACAGCTGTCATACACCTGAAGATACTCTTCCTCATTCCAGGCCCAAATTTCCTCGAACAGGGATTTGAACCCCTTCAATGCGCCTTTATAACCGGGAGGGTGGCAGATCGTACGCTTTCCTGTGCGTGCAAAGGCCTCACTGTTCGAAGGGCCGTTGATAGGGTGAAAATGAATGCGTGATCGAACTCGGTCGCTGTCGAGGTTGTTATCTACAAGCAGCTTCTCGATGCGTGGTTTCAAGGTCGGAAACGAGGCGATGTGCACGTCGGTGTCGCCTCGCACCAGCAATTCATGGGATAATGCGAGAATCAGGTTCGTCTGACCATGTTCACTGTTGGCAAGAAATAACACGCGAGGCCTCTGTGTTGGTAGCGGTGATTGCGGTGGGGATGGAGTCTTCTTGCGAGTACTGCGACGCCGCAAAACAGGCGCTTGTTTTCTGGAGGTCCGGGACTTCTTCATGGTGGGTGAGTGTACGTGCGTGCGGTCTCACTGCATGTGCTGCATGTAGAACAGACGACACGTTCTGGGCGGAAGTTGGAGCACATGGGGATATAAATGGGGACTGTCAATCAAGGAGGTGCCTGGCTTGGACGCAAGGTTGACAACAGGGAGGAATGCTCTCTTGTTTCAAGGGATAGTGGGATAGTGAGGGGAATGCCATAGTGCAGGGGAGAGGAGGGGTAGCACTCGCATGATGTGAGCTTAAATTTGAGCAAGGGAACAAGCAAAGGAAGTGTGAAGCTAAGATATACAGCAACACTAGTGTTAGGAAGTGCTGTACTGTACATAGGGGATGGAGTACCTACTAATCTCCGGACCCCTGGTAGATCTACCCGAGACCGCTGGATGTCGGGGAGATCATCCCCAGAAAGAGGGAATGCAGCTTGCTTCATTCAGCCCTGGGCCAAGACCGGGGTATAAAAAGATTAAGAAGGTTTGAGACCGCCAGAGAACGTGTGTGTACCTTGAGAGTTTTGCCAAGGGGGAACCAAAAATTAGAAAAGCAGAGTATGAAGCCGAAGAAGCTGATGAGAGGATAGGGGAAAGTGTGTAAGAGAGAGAGTAAAGAAGGGAGTCTAGCCCCGTTAGTCATGGCGCTAATGGAAGCTCTTTCTTTGCCTTTCCCCGCCTCCAGCCCAGCCAGAATAAGAATCCCTCCAAAAGATCTACAACCAGCTTGAACTTTCTTCTTCTTCTTCTTCTTCTTCTTCTTCTTCTTCTTCTTCTTCTTCTTCTTCTCTTCTTTACTCCGTTTCCTCATTTTGAAGTCAATTCACTTCCTCTCTTTCCCCTTCCTCTAGTTTGTCTTCACCACTCACCACTGCAGTAGACGGTGACAAACACAATGCCTGAACAAATCTCCCATCGGTCCAAGCCTCGTCCCACTGCTTCATGTCTTCCCTGTCGCGCCCGTAAAGTGAAAGTATGTTTCTCTCTATTTCCTTTCCCCCTTTCCCCTACTTTGTTTTTCAGGTATATAAGTATCCTTACCTCTTATCCAACTCAATTCCTCTCCGCTCCCCAAGGAAAACCAAATCTACCCATCTACCGTTAAGGGACCCCCGGGTTTATCAGTTTCCTTCAAATTATCAGTACACCCCCCTGTAGTTTCATCAAACAACATAGAAACCCCACAACATCCCACCAGTTTAGCACCAAAGAGATACTCTCCGAAAAACACCTCATAAACCTAACATCAACGACCCCAGTGCAACCGCCTCACCCCCTGCGCCACATGCGTGGCACGCAACACCCCACAAGAATGCAAATACGCTGCTCCAGATACCGATCGTCAAGCCATTGCTCAAGCCGAGCTGATCGCGGGCCTCCGAAGCCGGGCGAACCAATTACGCGATCAGCTGGGCATAGCCCGGGGGCTCGAGATCTTGGAGGTTGAGGATCAGCAGGCATCCACAGAGTCAGACAGCGAGCAGGAAGAACGGTATGCCTCGATCGAAAACGAGATCGGAAGCGGGGCCCCGTCACGGCAGGAAGAGGACCACTTGGCCGAGCTGGAGGTGGTGTATGCGGCTTTGAGATGGGGAACGGGTGCGACCGTAGAGGAAGTTATCCGAAGGGTTCGGAGAGGAGATCCCTTGGGGGACATTGCTCAGGGGGTGGAATTGGGGATGGGGTCCGGCTTAGAAGACGGCGTGGTGGTCCTGGATTGATAGAAGCGGTGGTCAGTCTGCCCAGAGAAAATAGAAAATATTGCATATATTTAGTAGTCATCATCACATTGCGTTACAGGACATCTTCAGTGTTGCACAGTTGGTTGTACAGGGCGTGGTGGTGCGGGCTGAGTTCGAACACAGCAGCTCCCATTACGCAGCCACCCGCCGACAAAAAACAGAGAGGTGGGACGAGACCACGGAATGGGGAGGCCAGGCGCATGTCAGGCTGGCGTCGAACGGAACAGAAACAGGAACCGTGACAGATCACTGCCGATTATGTACAATGTCGTTGGAAGAAGGGAAAGGAGAAAGGGGAAACAAGAGGGGCGGGAAAGAGAGACCCTGGACTCCGGTAGTACTTTTGCTCATCAGTGCCCGTCATAATTAGGATAGATCATCGCCAGGATTGCAGACATGCTGCTCGGCTTTCGTATCCAGCACACTGGTCAGGCAATCCATAAGCTCAAAATCTTCCACCACGGCCCCAAAACCATAGCAGCGGACCTTGGTATTGAGAGTTTCGACGATGATTTTGACGTCTTCCCGAGTCAGCCGACCATAGAGTTGGTGATTCTTGAGGCATTGCAGCGCCATGATGGGCGTGATCTGCCCCTCCGTCACCAATTGTCGACTGAGATTGAGGAGCGTGGTCAAATTGACGTGCGGCAGGTCGTACGTCTTGTGTGGGTAGGTTTGCTCGTTCGTCGTCGTGGCGATGTAGCTGGGAGGTGGACAGGTGGCCATCAGCGCATGCCCTGAGAACGGCATGTCTTCATCGTCTGCCTCGGTGATCGATCGGCGGCAGAGGTAGTCGGTGTGTTCTCGACAGGGGGATTCCAATCTAGATCAGCGTCAGTCGCATTGGATCGGTCACCAAGAGACCACACTTACGTCAAGATGAAATCAATTTGTAGCTGAGGATCCGCCTCGAAGATGCCGGGTAGCTGGATCGGGGCGCGGCTGGCGGGAGCGATCTGATCGAGAGTGGCCAAGGCGTCACAGGGAGCAGCCTGATAGGCTGATTGCGGCGGCGCCAGCTCCTGAACAGGCGATACATCAATCTGCTCGACTCCATGGGTACTCGGACTCAAGCTGGCAGAGACCGTCGTCGGCGGCGTGGTGTATACGGCACCTCCGTTAGGGGCGACGTTGCTCGGCTGCGAGGCGACACTGCTACTGGCAAAAGGACTCGAATGATAGCCCATGCTCCCGCGTTCCGCCTTGCGACGTTCGAGTTCCGGCTCGAAATTGATACCATGGGCCACGAGGATCTCTTTCAGGATAGTGTTCTCGTCTGAAAGCGTTTGCACCATGTCTCGATGTTGCACGACCGTTAGATTGGCCGCCGAGATCTCCTGCGTGTAGGCCTCTCGCAACCGGGACACTTCCGTCTCCAGCGAGCGGATATACTGTTCCTTACGTTCCCGATGGGTTCTGCGCCAACCGTTTGTATACAGATAATGATTACCCAGGTGGACCAATTACGTACCTCTGGGCCTGGCGATTCAGTTCCTGTCGTCGGGTCATGGCCGGTTTGCTATCCGGCTTCGGGCCTCGTCGTTTCGCCGGTTGCCCATCTAACGCGGAGGAAAAATTAGAGCTGATAAGGTAAACGGACCGGACCGTGGGTTCACACACCTCGCGTGACTTTCTTCTGCGTACCACCAAAGAACTTGAGAAAATCGACGCCGATGGTAGAAGGTCGAGATCCGGGTTGACCTATTGAGTCGCAAGTTAGATACGCGACGCAGTCGAGATACGAGATACGGGATACGGAAAGCGGAAAGAGTGCGAGACAGTCGAGACTTTTGAATCAGAGCCAATACCACACTGACTTCCCCAGCGCGAACCACGGGAAGGCGGGTCACGGACCATCGAGCATCTGGACCCCAAAAAGGCCGAGGAAGAGGCAAATCTTGGAATAATGATCTCAGAGAAAGACGAGAGTGAACTTACTCTGTGAACCATCTGGCGGAAGTGTCTGACGATTTGCGTTTGTGAGGTCCAATGGCATGGGGCCACCATTCATCGAGGCCATGGTGGTTGTCGCAGAGAAGAATGAAGAATGAAGCGTAGATGCGACCGGCGCAGTCAGGATAGAAGAGTGAGAGGGTGCGTGTGCGGTGGACGAGGAGATGACCGTCGATAGAGGTGGTTGTGCAGTGGTGGGAAGAAGAGGCGCAGAGAAGTAGGGAAGTAGGAGGTCAGAAAGTAGACCGACAACCGAAAGATAGAATAGATCGAGTATGAACCTAAAACAACTCCAAGCTGGCCCATCTGGACCGTTTGTCAGCCTTAAAAAATCGCGGCGCTGGGTTGAGAAGCGGGTGGATGCTGGCCGTCGTCCAAGCGTTTAAAGCTCCGATTCTACCACGCATGGAGTTGGACTGTACAGTACCTACCGATGGATGGACAGTCGGCTGTGTTTCCCTGTTGGGTGGATCTCCGGGATTGTGAGGTATGGAAGAGCACTCAATCACCACGAGCACCTAATCAGTACGGCAGAAGAGCAGATGAGGGGAGGAATGCAATCGTTGTGAATGAATGTAAAGAATTAGAAGATGGGAGGAGAGAGGCGAGTGCAAGAGAGACAAGGAGAGAGAAAGAGTAAGAGGAGGGGGGAGGGGGAGAAATCGGATAATGGATAACTACTAATTAGTTAGTAGTGGCAAGAGTGACAGAGCTGCTGGGACTGGCCTGGCCTGGACTGAATGGAAATGAATCTCAAGCAGAGTGATTGGTTCTCACTACAGTGATCAAGACTTAAGAAGGCGATGATGATGATGATGATGAAGATGATGATGAAAGGTGGACTCGGGATATGAAAGGTCTCACTTCATAAGCTCTTCTTACCTAGGCTGTTCCCCACGCCTTCTTCAAATCCATGCATGTTCTGTCGGGGAAGTGCCGGGGACCATTAGAGTGATGGAGGATAATACTGGACTAGGTACAGAGACTAGCTACAAGCCTACTAAGGAGCTCAGGCCAGCTGATTTTGTACAGTACACAGTACATACATACTCGTACATAACTGTGCATCTCTTGACATTTCCCTTTTCCTTCCAATTGTTTTACTATCTACCCTCCCGATTTGATCAGTCCAACGGACAATAGCAATTGCATTATAGGTCTACTTGAAGGAATCCTCCGTAGGCTCGTAGCACACCAGATCCGATCTTGTCTCGGCATTTCCACCCGTCAAGTTCTGTGCGTGTTGTGATTCGACTGCTGAAATTGGTTAAAGCTTCAGTTCCTTCGACTCTCCTGCAGCGTATTCGTACATTGTACGAAAAGCAAAACGCCAAGTGGAGCAGGAAAGTGGGTTCGATCGGCCAAAGGGAGAGGGAAAAAAACGGGCAACTGGTCATTATCGATAGGCGGCGGCTAGTCCTTCCCAGGCTTCCCAGGCTTCCAAGGCTTCACTCACTATCTTTAACCGACCGCAACGGCCCAGCAATTCTTTAGTTTTCAAGATGAAAGGCGTCAATAGCTCCACGGTCGCAAAGATACTCTTCTAGGTCATGTCAATAACAATTGGATCGATCGTCTCCTTTCCAGCGTCGCAGTGGGTTTGTTGGTTGGATCGATCGTCTCTGAGCCGGTGCTACAGCCCACCTGTCGTCTGCTGTGGAACGTTTGCTTGCCTCGCTTGTCAATCGGGGACGCAGCCGGCTTGACATCTCAGAAATTCCGGGACGCCTGTGCAACATCAACGCGTCCGCTCTGACTCTGATTAAGACTTTTCGTTGAGCGCAGTCTCTGCTGCGCCTCTGTCCATCTTTTCCTTTCCCTCGACTAAGCGGGAAGTATCATACTACACAATATTTCTTGACTCTGTTTCATGTTCCCACTCTTCCATTGTCTCTCTCCACTCCGGATTGTTTACCTTCATCAGACCCATCAGCTCCACCGTGCAAAGAAAGCCCTCAGTCTATCAATCTAGTGGCCCGGTCCAAAGTGGTGCTAGTATCCGTTGGGCTCCCTTAGTGGCAGGAACCGCACACTTTGTTTGATTGTTATGGTACGATTCCCAACGCTCCGACGGAGCTGCGCCATTATTGGGTCCGACGTAAGCCCACATCCACCGAAAACTCTCCTCTGCCGGCCTTTTCAGGTACATCGCGGTTCGTGGATGGTTTGTCCGTACGGGCCAATGGGGGCAGCTGTTGTGTCACGTCTCTGTGGCTGCGGCAATACTGATGCTTTCACATCTGTCACCAGCACCTTCTAATAGCGCCGGTTGTGTTCGCGCATGCTCGCATCCTGAAGCCTGAATGATCCCGGACCGTGTGGTGGTCAAAGCTAATCGTCAAGGCGCCTTGCGAAAGCCAGATAGTTCGAATCATCTGTGATTCGCAATTGCGTTTAGGGCGGTAGCGCTTCGGGTCAACCTCTCCCAAGCATACTGCGTAGTGCAAGTAGCAACGAAGGTAACCGTTCCAGTAACCACCCAGCAACACGTTGCGTTCGCAGATCGCACCAATACACTAGTTATAGACTATGCTGTGGCAGGCAAACCTTATATCGCACTCAGCGAGTATGAAGAAACCACTGATTAGGATTTGTGAGCATTAGAAATGCCCTTGAGGCAATCCCCGAAGCTCTAGGTTGAACAATCGGCAAACGATAATGACGATCGTCGGTAGATGGTCACTCGATGGAGTTAGTTGAATGGTCTGTCGGACTGAAAGAAAAAGCCGAGACAATACCGACCGAGCTGTCCCGGATCCCGGAATTGTCTATCTTGCCCAGGTGCAGTTGAGTGGATTTTGATAACTTGAAGGAAATTTGGAGATGCGCATGTGCCGGAACTATTGAAACGCGATCGACGGCCTAAGGCTTACAATCTGGCCGGGACAGGCAGGCGGCGAGACGCTCAGCTCTTTCTCCGCCCGGCCTTTGCCCCTCATCCACTTTCAGCTTCACCCCATCCTCAGCCCTTCACCTTGACCAGACAAGAAGGTTTAGGGATTGAAAGTCAAAGGGTGATCCACCATGTGCGCGCAGGGATTCTGTCCATTGCCTCTCCGATGCCATGCCCGACTCCGAAGTCCTCATTCACATCTCCGCCCCCGGGACCGTCCGTGACGATGCACGCTATCGGGCTCAAGTCGAGGCCATCCTCGCATTCCAGGCCTCCACCCGCCAAGTGATCACCTTGCGATCGGACAATGACCATACAGATGAGGTGAACACTGCCGACAGTGCACAAGCGACCGCCTCGTCGGCGGCAGTAGGATCGACCGCGAGCACCAATGGTGGTGAGGCGGATGATGATAATCGAGCGCTTCACACTGGCTCTTCGCATAGACCTCACCGGCAACCAGAAACAATACCAGCCTTGGCCGTGGCCTTTTCACCTGGCCAAAGAACCCTGCTCGTCGCCGATTCTCTCGGAACCCCCATTAGTGTGGTTCCAGACTCGCAACCCGAACAAGTTCAGCAGGACATCCTCGCCTTGCAAGAGATCGATTCCCCCGCCCCTGCCACCGTACGCGCCCACAGATCGTCGCCACCTAAAACCGATGTACATACAGCGAAGCGAAGCGGGGTAAACTCTCCAATACCGGAGAGAAAAGAGCATACCAGCTCTCTGGACTGCGTCCGACCTGAAGCTCCGCCCGTGCGACCACAACCCGATCACGCCCTGAAGGAGACAGAGTCTCCTGTATCTGTATCACGTCGCAAATATAATCTACCACCTATAACAGACGTTCGCCCAGCGAAGCGGAACCGAGTCAGTCCGCCTGGTATATCTGGAAAACAGGGAGATGACGAGCATCTGCCCGGAACCCAGAACAAACCAAGTTATAATCAACCGTTGCATGAACACGCACAATCTACACCACCCGGTCCTAATCTCTCTTTTGCACTTGATACCCCTTGCCACGACACGCCCTCTACGAAAAACGCCCTAGTAACGACGCCCCTCAAAATCCACCCGCCATTGCCCCCAGTCTCCAGATCACCCTTCAAAACTCACATCACGCCAACCCTCGCGATGCTAGCCACGCGTCTCCGCTCAGGACGAACGTATACCCCCGTCAGACAAGCTCGAGATCTGAATCCTCTCGAACGAGGATACTGGTTTCTCCACATTACTCTCGTTCCATCCGAATCCTCGCCATCACAAGCTGTGCCCCACGGCAATCCCATCAACACCAGTACAATCTGGGACCTCTCCGTCTTCACCCGCTTCTGGAACTTTCTGTCTGATTTCATCAACAAGGAGGGTCGTGCAGGTTGGGGCGTGTGGTGCATTCTCGAGGCTGCGCAGCCACCAAGCCAATTGCAACCACCCAAACCATCAACCGTCGATCCCCTCCAGTCACTGTCCGGTGCAGCGGCGGTAGAAACGCAGCGCTTGACGCTCAAAATCTACGCGTGGGGGGAGATTGCCTCGCATATATATCTGCTCCTGTTTCTGGCTAGTGAGCGACGGATCCGACGGATGGGGGCGCAGTGGCGCGACGGAGGTGATGAGGTTATCATAGAGATGCCGTAGCTTCCCACGTGGTTCTGTAGCAAAACCTGGCCAGGGAATAGTACTTTCTTGGACTAATTGGCTACGTTGGCTACACACCTACTTTCAGTATATAGATTTCTTTCACTCGATACCCAATTCTAGTTAACATTCGTTTCAATCCGAGCTCGAAGATACTATAAGCACAAGCACGCAGTGGTTCTCCCGACGTTGAATGGCAGATGACCCGCCTCTTTTCGCGGCATTCAATCCCTTCCTCCCAAGCATTCATTCGTGTCTTAATATTTCAGGTAAAGCCTTCAGGCACAGTTGACTGCCAAGAACCCGAGGCAGTCAAGTACCATGCATCGGGTGAACGGTACCCACCACCGAACAAAGTCTTTGTGCCAACACAGTCCAAACAAGACACCATGACAGGCTCCCCTGAACGCCTTCCATCTCCGAGAAGAGGCTAAGCCAGACGAGCAGCGCCCAAGGCGAGATTTCACCATCCAGCCCTGTCCGGCTTTTATCGCCAGTCCTGCCCGACCGACGACCTTCACTTGACCCAGACGACCTAGCACGAGGATTTCGCGTCTAGCGGGGACTATTATATTTCCAGGATATGTGAGCATCTGGTTTCATCCTCACGCGAGTGCATGCGCTTTTCTCTCGCTTGTGTGAGAATGAAAAGCTGGGGATCTTCGGCGACGTCACGTCGCGCCATGGTCAGCGGTAGCGAGTCCGTAAGGGGTGGGGGTGTATCGCCGGAAAGAAAAGCACGCGATTTCAATCATCCGGCCGAGCTGTTGAGATGGTAGAAGATATGGTTGAACCAAGTCTCGAAATCCATGTTGTCCGGGTGCGGGTCGAAGGTGGACTGAGAGTCTGGCGTAGCCGTGTTACCTGGGCTGCGATAAGGTTCAGAAAGGTCGGGGAGCAGAGGTATAGTCGCGGTGCTGGTGGTGGTGGTGCTGCTGCTGGAGGGTTCGCCGTGTGTTGTTTGGCCAAATCGGAGCACGTCGGCCACCGCGCGGTAGAAATCCAAATCGAGGTTACCCTCGGACGCAAAAATCGCATCAATGAGGGCAACGCCTCTCTGCGCGAGGATATCGCTCTTCTGGTCTGCGAGGCGGTTGCGTGCGGCCAGGATCGCCACCCGGAATTTATCGGTCTCGGGGCCTCCGGTGCTGTTGTTCGAGGCGACACTGACCTCGAAGCAGAGGATGATCGCGGCCGTGATGCAGAAGGCGGAGTGCGTCCAGACGAAGAAGTCGCCCTCATTGATGATGGTCTCATGCTCGCGTAAAATGGTCAGTGCAGCGGCGACACATGTTCGTCGGGTGTGCTGATACGAAGACGAGTGGAATGAAAGGAACAGGAATGGGCGGTGGATCATGATGATCTTTTCCGCGGCCGTGATCGCGAGACTGCGTCGTGCAATCCCTAGCCACGGGATCTCGAGTTCTTTCTCGACATCCGGTTGCAGCAGAAATCGGGGGAAGCCCTTGACAACGGAGCGCATTCTTTTGTCTAGCAGTAAGATATGGGCATACTGGTCGCGGAGAGGTTTCGGCTGGCCCATGGTCCCCAGCCCATCGATCAGGGATGGCATCAAATCTGCGATTTTCCGCAACGCCCGCACATAGCTACTCACCGTTAGGACGGTATCCGGCATGTCGGTAAGGTCGTAGTCGTCCGCGTTCAACGGAGGTTCCGTAGAATACTGCAACGGCGAGATGCTATAGGTATTGGTGAAGGGGATGGCGAAGTGATCTTGAATCACCATCTGACACCACACGCGCTTTCCCACTTCTCGCTGCGCGGTCTCGATCCATCCCTCCTCGGTGTTTAGAGATGCTCCATGCGCCTCTCGTATTCGGTGCACTCCCAGACATTCGGCAATACGTACAGCAGCCTTGAACAAAGTGGCATTCAGCTGACTCCGGCCCAGGTTATGGGCAATTTCAGTGGAGATGACAATCGCCTGTACCGAAAATATCGACATATCCTCGAGGAAGTGACCGGCATAGAGAGCTTCTAGCATGGCCGTCAGGAAATGATCCGCTGGAGGCATCATGTCGAGGTCGATATCGACAGCAGCCTTGGCTCGGCTGCTAATGCGCATAGCGAAAACGGTCGCTCCAAGAACCGAAAAGTAAAGAGCCATCCACAATGCATGATCTGTTTCTCCGGTACGCCAGAACCTCTCACATTGTTCGAGAAATGTGGGCGCGTGAATGCAGTCATGGTGCCAAGCCATATGGCATAAGTGGAAACGGATTAGCTTCTGTGCACTGAAAGCATCCACACCAGGGTCAAATGAGCGTTGAGAAGAGTGCGAATTTGCTCGGGAGACTACGGGTCGACTATACTGACAGCCACATTTCAGGTGTGGAAAGCATCCAGCAGAGTCTCTGCCCCATGCCAGATGCTCGATCGCAGTCAGTAATGATGAACCCGCTGGCTCCACCGGCTCAGCATGGCGCTGTGCTTCATTGGGTCCGGGTGGTGGCCGGGGTTCATGCACATGTGGCTGTTGTTCGAGTGAAGTTTCCAGTCCCGGTTGAAGCTGCAATATTCTGTTCCGGACTTTTGATATGATTTGTGGTAACTCTAACTTTGCTGTAGTGGATGTTGATTCAAGAAGCAAGTTCAGATCTCCGACCAGTGAGTCGAGAAAGTTAACTTCAGCTCCATGTCGCGCTGCACTTCGCTGCAACTGCACGATCTCACGAGAGCAGCTGAGCCTCAACCGAATGCATCTGGTACAAGGGATAATCTTGCTGCATTTTCGCTTGCTTTTGGTACATTCTAATGACGCCAGTCATTCGCGAAGTCCAATGAATTAGCCCGTGGCGACAGTTGTACTCACCTCGACATGCTAGAGGCTGGCGTTGTGAAACGCGTCGAGATTGTGTAGGCACAGTCGACATCGGCCTGTATCTACAACGATACAATCCCAGGCAATAAGAAGTATTACTGGAGATCAGAGAGACGTAGAGGCAAATGATTAGACCACAGCGCAGCGGGGCAGTTGGTTGTCGCGCCCGCACAGAGCATGCACATGCTGAGTCATCCTTATTTGTGCAACTCACAAACAACTTGTCGATTCGCAATCTAAACCGTCTAAACACTCTCCGTACAGTACAAATTCTCACGTCTCCTTTGTTTTTCTCCCAGACGACTTCAAGAACTATAATCAATCTGTCTTTCTAGTTTATACCTATACCTTAAAGGTCATGCCCACCTTTTTTGACCAACGTCACTGGTCCCTCATACTCCCGTCTTCCCTTGACCACATACATAACCAGACTCAGGATGAAAATAGCCACGAAGATCACCACACTCCAGTTGAAGTTGTCAGCCGCGACAGGAAGCTCACTTGGCCAGAAGGACCAGAACAGTGCGAAGAGAACATAGACCAATCCAATGATATTCACAGCCAAACCATAGCGGCCCAGTCCCCAGCGAGCAGGCGGCAGGCTTTCCGGGTGGTAGAGCTTTCGCCAGATCAGACAGCTCATGGAGATGGAATAGGAGAACATGAGCGCTGCCACATTGAGAGACACTACGGCATTGAAAGCGGTCTCGGAGCCAATATTGATCAAAGCCAAGAGAGCACTGAAAACGCAGGTCAGAATCACCGAATTGACCGGAAGCTTACGCTTCTCGTCCACCTTCGCAGTCCATTTTGAGAACGGCAGTCCAAGATCACGAGCAAAAGAGAATGTTTGCCGAGCAGTGGAGGCGTTGAATAGGATGTTGCTGAGAATCACAGGGATCAGGATAATAGCCATCAGGCCATTGACTCCGGACGTGTCAGTTGCCTGCTTGAAGACATAGATCAGAGGATAGCCTGACTCATCGTTCAAGGCATCTTCAACGGAAGGAGTGGCGAAAAGCATAGTGATCAGCACAATCAGCGCCAGGATCGCATTGGCGAAGTATGACCATGTGATTGCAATAGGCACATAACGACCGGCGTCCTTGATTTCCTCCGACATGTGGGCTGTTGCATCCGAACCTGGTGATGATGATCAGTCTCTAGCCTTCATCTATTCGGGCGTTATCGACTTACTCAGACAACCATAAATAGCGGAGAGTTGGCCCACCATCACCGTCAACCCCATCGAAGAGAATCCACCAAAGTTCTCGAATTTGGTGAAGACCGCCTCAGCCGGCTGCAGGGGAGCCAGGACCCAGAGTGATACCACGATCACTACCCAGCAGAGCACATGGGTAGCGAGCAGGACATTCTGCATGCGGGCCATGAGGCCCGAGGCGTACACGTTAAAGTAATACGCAACCAAAATCATGGCAAAGACAAACAGGGTGCCCTGCCAACCCGTTGCGTCATAGCTAGGGTCTCTGACGCTGATCAACCCTTGTATGATGGACCCCGTCAAGTAGGAACCGGAGGCCGTGCCTGCTTGCCAGGCAAGAACCGACATCCAACCGGTCACATAACTCAGAAATTTCTGATACCTAGCCGGTGCGAATTCCGAAACCCAATGGTACTGGCCGCCAGACGTGGGAGCCCTAGAAGACCACCTGGTTAGCTCATCATGAAAGATTATTAGCGCAAGGTTTCCGATTCCTTACATCGATGCCATCTCAGCTAGGGAAACGATGATAAAGCCGAAACCCACGGTACTCCAGACGTATGACCACAGCATCCCTGCCAGCCCACCATCCTGCAAACCTTGATAGTTGGACCTGTCTCTCTGTTAACACGAATTCGAATGAAGCCCGAAGCTGAGGCTCTGGACTGCTTACAGCAAGATATATTCCCAGGTGGCCTGCAACACAGCAGAGAAACTGAGCGCTGCCAGAGGACGGATATTTCTCTATGAATCGCATACTTAGCAAAGAATAGACATTGTGCGATTGATATTGCGGGCATTCACTTTGAACTGCTGTGCCTTGCCCATACGATCCATCTCTGTCATATCATACCGTGTTCCCTTGACTTCATCCACATCATTGGCTTCATTGACCTCCATGCTCTGAAAGCCGGTCACCACCGGCTCCTTCATGTTGGATTGTTGCAAATTCTGTCGGTTGCTCATGGTGTCGAGTCACTCGAACGCTCGGAATGGAGAGAACATGCAGGGAACAAAAGGAGGGGAACGGCCCAAAGAAATTTCATATCAACAACGACCGGAGACTGCGGGGGAAGCGTCGGGCAAAGAATCAGGGAAAGGGGCAAATCACGCCAGCGCCATGCAAATTTGCCTGAGACTGTTTCCTGGACAGGGTTACGCAAGTTAAGGTAGACAAAGGACTGTGTCGCAGCACTAACAAGTTTAGTGGCACTAAAACCTCGCATGCGCACGCCTCGATATCAACTAGCAACGGTCCGTCCGGCGGAGCAATTTCTGATCCCTGCACTCGCTAATCAACAATAAACTACTATATTAACATGCTTATCTTGATTGGGATAGGCTTAGCCTACTCGTCTCTCGGTCTCCACCTGAAAATTAATCTCTACCTGAAGATTAGTCTCGACCTTCCCTTATCTATTACCGCCGCTTTTTTTTTCCACCTCGGCTCAAAATCGCGGTCCGGTGCTAGTTTCTTAGGGTTCAGCCAACTGCCTTTTTTATGCCGCCAAGACTAATCCATGCATTGCCCAAGTACTTCGAGCCCATGCCACAGTTCAGCCACGCTGCGTCCTGAATTTCGAGCAGTTGAGGGAAACAGCCGACCTGACCAGGGGGGAGGTCGCAGGTTTCGACCTACCATAAATCGTACCGGCACTTTGCCCTGAAGTCGGTTCCCGCGAGGATGCTTGCTCGCCTTCGTAGAATCCACACCGGCGTGGCACCCTCCTCTTCATCTACTCATGCATTCCTCCCCTTAAGGCTGTCAAATTCTCATGACCTATACCAGCTTGCCTCCGGGCATCTCCCCGCCGTTGGCGGAGAACAATGCCCACAACCATACCGGGCTGATCATCATCTTCGCAAGCGTGTGTCTTTTCCTGGTCCTCAGCTCACTGGCGATGCGCGTCTACGCAACAACGCAGAGGTCGATGGCATTGAGCGATGACTATCTTCTGGGGGTTGCAGTGGTACGAAATCATCATCTCTCCTTATTCGGTTCTTGATCCACCTCTAATGCCTGCACACCTCAAGACAGGCAGTCGCCATCACGCAAATAAGTGTCGTTTTCTACCAAACGCATCTGGGCTGGGGAAAGAGCTCCGAACTCCTCGATCAATCTAGCACAGAGCGAATGGACAAGGTATATCATACAGTCCTTGCTCTTCAGATGGTGGCCCATTACTGAACCCAAGTGATCGCTAGAGCGCATACGCCTCCGACCTGCTCTACATCATCGTCCTCGGCCTCTCCAAATGCTGCACCAGTCTTCTATACCAACACCTAACCACTCACGCGGCACGCTGGATCCCACGCAGCCTTCTAGGTTTGTCCATCATCTGGACCATATTATCAGTCATCCTCGTCGGGGTCCGCTGCAGCAGGACCCAACCATGGATCGACATCAACGACAAATGCTCCAGTCTAGTCAGTGCTTTGATCATCACCTCCTAACCCAAACTCACTTATGCAGCCAACCCTAGACCCTCAAGACTAACCCATCCAATGTCCACAGCAACCCCACTGGACAGCAACAACCGCCCTGGACATCCTCCTCGAAATCCTCCTCTTCATCTACCCCATCAAACTAATCTACAGCCTCCGACTCCGCCGATCCCGCAAACTAACCGTGCTCGCCCTCCTCGGCAGCCGAGGAATGTACGTTACGTTCTCTACGTTCTTCCTGACTATACCCTGCTACCACATCACACCCTTTTCCCCTTTACCCCCCAAGCCAAACACCCCCTCCCCCTCAACCCCCCTATGTCCCCAGGAAGAACTAACAAAGGAGAAAAACTACAGCCTCCTAATTCCCCTAACAACAATCCACTACCGCACCCTCCTCACCCAACTACACTCCGCGAACCCCACCCTCCAAGCCTCCAACCCAACCATCTTCAAAGAACTTTACCTCGCCACCAGCATCCTCCTCCTGACCCTCTCCTCGTTCAAGATGTTGATCGCCGTCTACGAGGACGACGACGGCCTCGCCTACTACACCAGTGACGGCGGCGGCGGCGCCCACAGCAGTAAATCCCGGCACCAGAACACGACCTGGAATACGCGGGACGGTGGTACGGGTGGTCCGGGTGGTGGGTCCCGCTCGTCGAGGCATTACACCAAGCGAAAGTCCCGGGTTGGTCTGCCAGACGCTGGTCGGGCTTATGATGCCGATGGTACGGGGGGTGGTAGTGGTGGCAGCGGTGGTGGTGGTGATACCATCGAGGAGGAGCCGATCCTGGGGCGCTTTGCGCGAGGCGGGCAGCAGCAGCTGGGAATGATGGGGATTCGGAAGGATATACAGATTGAGGTGACGAGTGAGGTGGTCATTGAGCTGGAGGAGCGAGACGTTGGCGATCAAGATGAGAGAGACAATAACAGGAGGGGCGAGTCACGGGGTAGTGGGAGTGACTCGTACAATCTGGAGGGTGAGGGGGGAAATGCTCATCTTGCTGCGAGGATTGGGGGTGCTGGTGCAGGGTGGAAGAGGGATAGTCGTGGGAGGTTCTCTGAAAGGTTCGGTGGGATTTAGCGGCAACGGATTGGCCGCATCGGGCTTCTGGGGTAAGTAGTAATCTGGCTGGGAGGGCAGTCTATAAGACTTGATGCAAAAAGTCCGAAATCCAGATGCTGCTTCGTGCTGTCGCTCTCTGGGAAGGCATAGAACACTAGACTACGAAGCGGAGATCGACGATATCATTATGAAGCTTTAGATTTAGAAGCGTAACTTGGTTGCTCATACCTACTCACACATTGCTCTTGAAAAAAAATGGTCCGAAGAGAGAACAACGCATACCAATTCCATTGAATAACGACCATCGAGCAGCATTAGCTCAACCCGCGAGAGACGGAAGTATGTTACAACTCAGCAATGCCGATGCTAGGAAACCGGTACTCGATCCCAGATGAGTAAACTGTACCACCATGACTGAAACCCCAAACTACCTACTGAGTCGAAACCAGTTTTTGACATGCAAATGGAAAAGAAAGTGGGAAAGAAGAACCCCATGAGAAATACAATACAGACGCAACGGAGCCGAGACTAAATCGAAAGGTTAAATGCAGAAGTAGAAAGCCAACGCCAAATTGTTACAAGCTGGGCTAATTGCTTCAGTAATTCAACTCCCCACTGCCGGCACCGCCAACGGCATCAAGATCCTCGTAGCTCTTGAGACTGCGGCCTTGAACAGCCTCGCGCGGACCCATACCTTGTTGCGCCCCACTGGCATCAGGGAAATTGCCGGACCCCAACATAGCAGCCGCAGCAGGGTGGCCAGGAGGAATGTATGGAGCTCCAGCAGTGGCTGGCAGACGACCTCCCGCTCCGTAGATGTTGGACATACCACGGATCGGGCTCAAGCGGCCGTTACCACCTGCTTGAGCACCATGTCGGTTACCTCGGCGATCGTATGGTCCGGTGCGATTATTGTAGCGGCCACCACCACGACGCACAACCCCGGGTTGATGCAGGCCATGGCCATCACCAGGAACCATACCATTTCCGCTCCAGGACGGGTTATTGACACCCATGAACCCGGGCAATCCAGAGCCAGGGAGACCCTGAAACCCTGGGGGCACACCACCGCTGCCTCCGAAGTGTGCCGGCATCGACGCCAAGCTGAATCCACGGGGAGTACCCGCCTGACCTTGGCCAGTGCCCAAGGGGAAATGACCGTTGCTGTTGGCATCCGACCGGGAAGGCGCAATGCGAGCGGGGTCGAGCACGTAGGCATTAACCAAAGCAAGCTATAACACTTGTTAGCAACACCTTGTAACCAAGCCACGGGAAAGAGAAGCACTTACGTCGCTGCGAATGTTTTCATACCACTCAGTGTGACGCTTCTCGACGTGCTTACGCCAGAAATGATCTGCCTTGAACAACTTCGTGCACTCGGGAACCTTGCATCGGTACTTTGACTCGTCCTCTTGCTTCATGAACTTGCTCAGCTCCTCCTCCAGGGCCTCATCAACTGGCTTGCCGCCTAACTTCGCAATGTCCACATTTTCAGGCTCAAGGATTTGCAGGAGCTTATCTTCAAAGGTCCTAACCCAGTTGAAGGCCCGCTGAAGCTGCTGTTCAGACTTGGAGCTGTATCGTTGAGACCGTCTTTCTTCCGCAGCCGGCGGCTGTTCCTCGCCCTCTTCGCTTGCCTCTTTCTTTTTGACGGGGAACGGCTGCCCCAGGGCACTAGCCCGGGCGACAGCTTTGGATTGTGTTGTCAGACCAGCACGTGGGCGACGAAGATGTCCACCTGGACATTTCCGAGCAAGCTCGTGGACTGAGTCGCATTCGAAGACACAGAAGAAGCAGAAGTTGTAGACTCTTCGAAGGTACTCCACCATCAAGTCCAATTTCTTCTTCTTAGCCAGAAGTTCCTCATCATCCACATCGTCATCTTCCCATCCCTCCCGCTCCTCTCCTTCTTCGGCCTCGCCCTCATCGATGTCATCAGCATCGTAATCGGACTTCCTCTTCTTGACGCTAACGGGGCCAGTCACAGGGGGCTGTAGCCATCCCTTACCGCGCAGATCTTCAACTCGCTCCTCAATCCGGGTGAAACCGTCCGCATTAGCCCCCATTTCAGCATCCAGTCTGGAAACCAATCTCCTCGCCAGCTCCAAGTCCCGGGAAATGCGCTCGGGTGATGAGAATAGGTCCCACAAAGCCTTCTTGCGGGGTTGCGACGGGGGCACATGCACACCGACATGGCAGACAAAGTCACCGTGAACTTCATCGTGGATTGTTTTATCATTGATAGCTTCAAGGGCTTTCTCGGCAGCCGACACGGTCACGTTTCCGTGAGAGTTGCTATCCTGATCCATCTCTTCACCCTCTTCTTCGCGTCCATCGCCTCTTTCAACGATGGGAACATCAGGAGCTGGGTGAAGCATGATCCAGCCCATCCGATGATACTTCTTGGAAGGGTTCGGGTCACTGAGGCTGAGCCATTTGAAACCTCCGTCTGATTCTCCCAAGTGCTCCTTGCAAAATTCTTCAATTTTCACACGGCTCACATTGGGAGCCAAGGTCTTGATCAGCAAGGCCGACTGGGATAGCGCCTCATCCCGCAGGTCACCGCCTCTGGCTGGGAGTAAATCCAAGACACCCAACGTCTCGCCAACAGCAGTTGTTTCACCCTCTTCTTTTTCAATTACACCGCCGGCTCCGTCGCTCTCGCTCTTGTAAATGCCTTCCAAGGTGAACTCGTCGAAGATACCGTTATCAAGATCGTTCTCCCACTGCTGATAGGCGCCCATGCGGAAATCCATCAATCGGCGACGGAGAGGCTCTCGGACATCCGGGACATACCGCTCTTTGAACCATTCCTCGCTGCGATGATATTGAACGAAAGTACGGGCCATCTTCGACTGAAGGTCGACTTTATAGGCATCGTAAGCAGCCTGGATTTGGGCCCTTTCTCTGTCTCGGTCTTCGCGAGCCTCGCGTTCTCCTTTGACGCGGTCCGATGGACGTCTGCCACCGTGCTTAGCGCGCTCCTTCTCTTCCTTGATTGCCTGCTCCGCCCTCCACCATTCTGCGAACCAATTGAACCCAACTTGAAAGTCCAGGTTAAGAGGGTTAGGCAGAGGGTTTGTGGGGATCGGGCGCTTGCCGGAATCCTGCCCCGGGACATAGCGATCTATATTGGCGACATTGGGCGATGGTGCAGAACGACGGTCATCGCGCTCACGCGCGGCATGCTCGCGAGACGCGCCGTAATAATCGTCTCGTGGAGCACGGCGGTCGACCGGTTCATAGCGGTCGATCATAGCAGGCGAACGGGAGCGGCCGCGACCCCGACGGCGGTCTTGAGACACTAGCAAGTTCAAGATGTTAACAGTAGGCCGTGTAAACAAACAGACGACCAGAATCTTTCCACATACCAGGCGATCTGCGGCGATACGAGTCAACTGGTGCACGGGTGGCGTAAGGATCGCCCCCATCCCGGCTTCTCCCAGGAGAGCCGAAACTGTCATATGAATCCATCACGGTAATGCCCTGAAGGGATATCGGGCAGTCCGAGACTGAAAGTCACTTCGAGTGAATGGTCCGTGTTGTGAAACTAGCAGTGTACGGTCAAGTCGCGAGTTGACCCGAAGGTGGGAGGGACAATGGATAAGCTAAGATTCGACATCATCGGATTAGAGTACGTCCTTCACTTGTAAGAGTGTCTCAAGGGCGGGACAATGATGATAGTTTGAAGGGACAAGGTGGGCAACGAAAGGACGAAGACGAGGCTGTAGGCCCTGAACTGGCCAGGGGACGAAGAAGAGGCATTTTTTTTTCTTTGTAGAAGAGACAAGAGCGAGCCAGAGAAGAGAGAGAAAGAAGCAGGGCGCTCACGCGAGCCAGACAAAGATTGGAGGAAAAGGGAGCACAATATGGACAAGAGCACAGATGATGGTCTCGAGGGCCAATTACGGCGCGATGAGGAAGTAAGCTTTGAAAGAAATTGCAGGCACAAATGAAGATAATTGACTTGATCGAAATGCGATGAAGTTTGATTGAGAGATTGATGAGAATGAGCGCAGGATAAGGGGGGAGAGATGAAAGACAAAGGTGACGCGGAAGAGGATGGATGGATGGACTGAGCACGATAAGAGAGAAGTAAGGCAAGGCAGGCAACCTACACGAGAAGCCTTTGAATGAAGAGGTCTGGATAGTCCACTTGAGAAAGCGAATTGGCGCAGCAGACGTCCAACCCGATGAGAAGATCAGATGGAACGAGATAAGTAAACTCGCAACAGAGCTGAATAGCGGTGCGGGTCAATCGGTGGGTGGGTGGGGGGAGGAGGAGGATGGAGAGGAAAGCTGGAGAGGAAAGGAAGGAAAGAAGGGGAGGGAGAAAGATGAGGCTGGAAGCCCAGACGATGAACTGCCGCTAATCCGCATCCGGACTAGGTCGCCTGGGGCTTATGACAGCGCGCGCCACTCTAAAATAGATCATAACTTTCCGATACTAGGTAGTTATCAAGTTCGATCCCTCGAAATGCTTCCTGAATCTCAACTTTTTGTTCACACAAGTCCTGTCTGTAATACGTACTCCAAGTAACGTTCAGAGGCAGTCGGAGGCAGTGACGTTTCTCACTTTCTAAAGCTCTCTAGCTGTCTAGCTCTCTAATTCTCCAATTCTCTAAATATCTCGTCCTGATTATCCAGAGATCAAGCAGTATCCGATTTGGAACTGACAGAAATATCGAAATAGAACTGGCATATTTGTACATAACTAGCATGGGAATCATCCGTCGAAAATCACAAGCCGGATCAAACACCAGAACTGACCGAACCATCAGCTGGCCATGGGTGAAGGACGACGAATCGAGTTCGTGAGAAAGACCTCAGCGCTGGGTGAAGGAACCTTGCGTCTGGCTTGAGTCGGATCCAAGAGTCTGGACGCAGCCCCAATTGACGACAGTCAAATCATCACTCCTAACACTCTTCCAACCAACTCGCGCTTTACCAGGTACAGACCACTCTTTAACTACCAATCATTGACCCCAAACCCATTCCGCGCCAAGGCAAGATCAAGTGAGATAGCAGGTTTGGTCAAGGAAATTTAAGCCATCCATGACGGTCGCAAATACAAAGTTGTCAATAACATTTGGGGGTACCCGTCGATAGGACTGGATAGCAGTCTGTATAAAGCGCTGCCATCGACTGTAAGAATGTAGACCTCCAATGGAAAGACGCTGGGTCATGTAGCATCAGCAGTGGCATGAACAACATAATCCCTTCATAAATCGGAAACCGTGCACCGTCCCGAGAAAAAGGAAAATAACAGAACATAATCATCTCACACATGCAATCCTGACAGGCTGAACATCATCAGCTGTAAGGGGTGGTAGTAAAAAATACTTCGTGCCAGCATAACGATATAAACAAACATAAGTATAAAGGTGGCGTGAGGAAGAATGGAAGAAGAAAATTGCAACAGAGATAATGGTATGAACGTAAACATGTGCACATCGCTGGGTGGTTCAAGCGAAGGGGTTGTAGTATAAAGAAAAAAAGCGAAAATAATCAAAAACAACCATCCGTAAATCCGTGATAATGATTAGAAGAGGGCGCGAGCTTGCGGCCTAGAACGGCAAACCGTTCAACCGTCCTCGTCAGACAGCTCAGCAGATTCGTTCTCGCTCTCCTCGGCACTGGTGCTCGCTTTCGCGGCGACGGTCTTAACCTTCTTGGGATTGGCATTTTCATCGTCAACGTCGCTCGACTTGCGCTTCTGCGCCGTAGGGGAGGTAGTCCCCAACGATTTCGTAGCATTGCTGTCAATGTTCTCCTGCCCAGAAGCCACGGCGCCGGCTGATTGTTTCTTCTCCATTGCAGCAACCTCATCGGCTGTTAAGAACCGTCCGCCAGGGCCTCTAGGACGCCGCATGGCATGATTGTGACGCGATTCGTGCAAGTAAGGCTTGCGTCCCTTCGAGGTCAGTCGCAATTGCTCCTCCAGCTTCTGTCGGGCCACCCGACGCTTTAGGATGCGGTGAAACTGCTTCGCATTCACATACAGTGGGGATTCATCTCCGCCACCGGCAACCATATCAGGAGAAGCCTGGCTTTGCTGGATTTGAGGTTGGGGCGGAGCCACCATGGCCGGAGGCACGGAAGGTCGGCCAACGTGGTTGAGAACAGGCTGAGCACTCGGGACGTGAGGACTGCCGACATGGCTCATGCGACGCTGCTGCAACTGTGCACTCTGAGACATCTGGACTTGAGGCCCCATTGAGGCCATTTGACCAGATATTTGAGGGGGGGAACGAGGGTTCCGATCACTCTTCACCTGAACTCCAGCCATGCGTGGGGATCCCCGAGGACCAGGTCCCATCTGACCCGGCATCGAGTCTTGATGAATTGGATAGAATGGGCCCGATGCTGCAGCCGTCGCCATGGCAGCCGCCTGGGTGGGTGAAATTCCATACGTTTGCGGCATCGCAGCTGCGACGCCGTACGATTGGGGAAAGCTCATCTGCTGATGTACTGATCCAGGAGCATTTTGCGGTTGCTGGTAGTGAGACTGTGAGGGAACGATTGGGGAGGCCTGGTGTGTAGGATGAGCCTGTTGCATGTGTGCCTGCGGGTTAGTGGGAGAAGTCATTGACCCTACAGCAGGACCTGCGTTCGGGGGCGCTGTCTGGTAAGGGGCAGCGATGTGAGACGGGGCATGGGGATGCTGCCCGTGGGGCTGTTGATATTGCGGAGGATATTCCATCGTGAAGTCGCGACGAGCTTGTCGCGCTTCCAATCAGTGAGGATTGATCGAGCGCCCTGGCTGTCAGGAACCAGCTAGTCAGAGCCAATAATACTACAAAGACGAGTCGGTTGACAGGAGCTCAGTTGTCGGAGACCAGGTTGGGGATGTTCAAGGGACGATGATAGGTCGTGAAGCAACAGTTGCACTTGAGAAGATTACGGTCGTGCACAGAAAAATAAAGGCGGCCGCAAATAGTCTGTGGTCGTGACTGATGATTCGACGAGTTAAATGCGGAAGGTCTGCGGATTCTTGTTATAGTGTCAGCATGAAGCGCAGCACCAGCCGGTCACTGGATTCGGAGTGGGTGGGGTGGATGGGGGAAAAGAAAGGCGCTTGCACCTGGGCGCGTACCTCCGCTTTTGTTTTGCCAATACACTCGGGACGTCGACAAGAGTGACTGGGCAAGGTTGGACGCTTGTTTGTCAAATTTCTCCAAACGACTTTCTCCGGCGGTTCAGTGTCTTTTGTGGAAATCTTTTTTACGTTCTCCTCCGAGTGTAACGTGGTTGGGCTTCGATGCAGCGAACCAGGGTGTCCTCGATAAAATGTTGCACTTGATGCGTTGTCAGACAAAGCGCAATCGCTTCGGTGATAGCGCACAGGTATATCTCCAGCACAACAGAGACCAAAAAAGGGGAGGAAATAAATGCTACGCAGTATAATAAGACGACAACTGGCAGGCTACCTCGGTCGATGCTGCGCACTCTCCAGAGTCAGTCGGACTGCTTGCTTGGCCACGTCCGTCTTGAGGCGGTGCTAGCAGCGTGGTCAGCTACTGAGTCGCGACCCGGTAGTGCGGGCTAAGGCTAGTCCACGGGTCCCCGGAACTATAATGCGGCGTGGGACGCGCTGATGTCAGGATGCGCCTGAAGGGGGGGCTTGCACGGCTTTCTCAGCTACAGCACACAATTAGCATCGATCATCTCCACAAACCAAGATTTCAGCTTCTTGATTTGTGTGCTGTCATCCAGGGTAAAAGTGTCAGGGTGGAAGGGGGTGGGGAGAGGGGAAGGGAAGGCAAAACAGTGGCGGCTTCGTCCATTCAGGGCTGAAGGATGTATGCGTTGGCAAGCGGATTCATGATGCAGCCGGTGACATACCTTGTTAATTGCAACGCACTCGTGAGCCGAGACAAGGGCAGTAGTCTCTTTTTCGCGTGCCCTTATCAAGATACGTGTGAACTGAACTCAAGGCTAGATTTCAGTTCGCGATGACGGAAATATGATTCGCGTCTAGCGAAAAGCGATAATGTTAGAGATATCAGATCCAAGACGATGGCAGGCAGGGATTGACGCGTGGTGATTGGATCGTAACGGGCGGGGAGGGGGGGAAGAAAGGTAGCAGCAAGTGAAACACAACAGAAAGCAAGCATGACACGATCGCGGATCAAAGGGGACTTGGCGAATTAGGACAAATGACAGCAACAATAGTATGGGTAATTCAGGTACATAACGGGCAACAGGATAGAATTCCCAGGTTTGCTTTGCGTTTCCCCAGAGGATGAGAGGGATCACAGTCGCGGTGTGCGGGTCGTGATCGCAGCAGCGGAGGGCAGAAACAGAAAACAACAACACGCCGCCGCTGCCTCGTGGTTTGAAACAAGGTTAATTACCTTTAGCAGCGATTATTCTCCGCGGGAAGGGAGAAGGTTTCAATGCAGCGCAACACAAAAAGGGCAAAATCAAGTCAATGATTTGCTGGAAATCAACTGTCACGAGGGGAGGAATCTGGGTTGATTCGCGGGTTCGCGCTTGCAAGAAGAAAGCGGACAGCAGCAGCAGCAGCTAACACGATCACTTCTCCTCTCTCTCTCTCTTTCCCTCTTGACTGTTGCTTTGCGGTGCTGCCGCTGATGTCAGTCCGGCCCGGGATTGATCCGCCGAGTCAAACGCATCAAACATGGGAGCCCACCCTTGCTCGGGGAAAAGGCAGGAAGTATGACAGGGCCAAGACGTTGCTTGTTTGATGAAATAACCAAACAAGTAATGAAAAACAAAAATCAAAAATGAACCAAGCACACAGAATAAACTGGCACAAAAGTGACTGGTGGAGACGCGTGCTGGAGTGATAATTGAATCATTATGACTGGGGTCTGATAGGAGTGCCAGCAGTGGAAGATGCACAGCGGTTGGAGAAACAACCTGGCTGCAGACCACACACACACTCTCTCTCTCTCTCTCTTACGGGCGGGCGGGCGGGGAGGGGAAAGGAGATTGGGGGCCAGCCTCGGAGATGAAGGGGGAGCGTGCAACGGGATTGGGCGTCAACCAGATTAAGGTGATGCAATCAGAGGCATTCAGAGGAAAATAAGATAGATAATCACAATGCAAAAAGAACTATGAGCAAGGGGTATGTATGTATGGGAAGGGGAAGGGGAATGGAAAATGGAAAATGGTATTGAACTGTTTGGAAAAAGTGATAGTGTTCACGTACCTTAGATGGTGATTCGATCACAACCGTGGTAAAGGCAGAAAGAGGGATGAGGAAAGTGATCAATCACAAGAGGAGGGCGGATGGGGGTGGGAAGGGCAAACGACGATTGGGTTGGACAAAGACCAGATGGGTTTGATCTTGAAAGCCAACCCAGGTAAGAGGAGCGAGTAGGAAAAAAAAAAAGAAAAAAGAGCAGTGGCAGAGAAACCAATGGGCTCAATGGGCTCTGTGCGGGCAGACAAGAACAGTCCAACTGGGGGGGTTGACTGGACTCCCTGGAGGGACACGCAAGGACTGGAGAGGTTGGATGACCAACGAGAGTGAGCAGAGAGAGAAAGCCGCAGCGAGAGGAAGGGGCGAGCGATGGGGCATTTGTACCGGCCGCAGTTGCGAAGGGGAGCTGACTGGCTCGGTAGCTTCGTCGACTTTCCAACCTTTCCAGTTCCAACAAAGGTCGCCTCCAGGGTTTTTCGCTCCATCGGGTTTAACCTGTCTTAGGTAAGGCGGTCCGTCACTGACCGTCATTACTTACCCGTACTAGAAATTACCACTGTATCCATATTCCCCAACCACCACCACCATCACTTACTCACCCACCCACCCACCCATCCACACAGTTCCAGTTTCTTAAATTGCTTTTTTTTATTCCTCCTCTTTAAAGATTGGGTGCAGGCTCGTCAACAATTTCAGTTGATAAATATTATCTATATATCTACTTATCAACAGCCTCTACATCTGGTCATCATGTTAATGTTATAATCAAACAGTCCCAATAATTAATTAAAATGCCCTTTGTTCACCACCCTTTCACCCAGGAACAGGGTTCCTTCGCCGCCCAGTCTGGAAAGCATCCGGCCATCCCGAATGCTCATTTTGTGACTCTCAGCAGGTGTGACCCAACCGGGCCAAGCGCCCTCGGGAATCGAACAACAACTGTAAGACCGAGGATGGTGGCCGACCTTCAATTTCACCAGCCACCCCACGTCCTAGGGACAACAATAGGCAGTAACTTAGCTATCGACTGCTGATCAAGGACAAGAACTTCTGGTGATTCCTCTCAGACCAGCGCCTGTTTCTGTGACATGAGGGTCTCTTGATACCTAGTAATAGTTATTACACACTATGTGCGACTGCTCCATTGAGAGCTCTGGCTGGGTCGCGTCAATCTTCGCATTAGCATTCGCATTATCATTATTCAAAACAACTAACTAACTACTGTAGGCAGTGCCTTAGCCAGAACGTGCTTCCTGCACCATGCGACCTGAGCCGTGAAGTCACACTGATTGTCCTTCTGTAAGCGCGGCCGTTTTCTTGCTTTTCTTACCGTACGCCGCCGCACGGTTGTGTAGGCTGCTACTGGCCAGTGCGCTCAAACGTCAGCGGAGTTCATCGAGAGCCATGGCCAATCTCGGTTATATCTCCCCTTCAGGAAAGACACCTCGGAAAATAATAATCAGAGAGGAAATGCGAGCACGAGCGCTTTCGTTTGTTCCCTCTATCTTCAGCAAAAGCGAGGTATACCTATGCGCATTGTGGAAGGGGGTTCATATACTCGTAACCGCTCGCATCTGTAGCATTTTTTTATATTTTCTTTTTCTTTCTTTCACTGTTTGCAGAATGCGACGATTCTTTGAAATCACTAGCGCTCTACCAAGCGCTGGATCACATTCGAATTACATTTCCGACTCGACCGTGGTCCGCTATCGCATATAGGTTGCACACCCAACAATCGGACAATGGACCGTAAATACCGTGGGCATCTAAGCGCCCTTCCGTCCATTGTGTACTGTTGTCCCAAAAATCTATAGTTATCATTTGGGAATTTGGAGACGAACCTACAATGAATCATGTGATTGTTCAGTTATGTTATGGGAGTAGAACTTAGACAACTCGCATCCCCAAACTCCTGAGTATTACAATAATCGATGAAGTGTCAGTACTGTCTTACTAGTAGTATGTCACATCTGTAGTCAAGCTGTGTATGCAGTTTGTCGCAGTTCTGGTTTGTACTGATGCTGACGTGAACGTCGTGTCGCTGGTCTTATCAAGTCACAAAAATATATACATCTGTTATGACACGAGGCTCAAGGTCCTACTTGTGGAAGATCAGGTCCAATCCCAACTCAGAGCACTCAAACACCTTGCACAAGCATCGTAAAGAACCCAGTCAAATTTAAAACTTCCGCATTCTCGGGCCTGTCAAGTTCAATATTATCGTGACTGCCTCTGAGTGAGAGTGTGGATCACTAGGCTGGTCTGTTCTATACCACGTGTGAAGCTTGACCGCCTGACGCAAACTTACCCGTACAGCTTCAACAGAGCGGAACAAAGAACCTTCTGTCGTAGCTCCAGAGTGAAATAAAGCGAGAATAAAGGATCCTCCTCATACCATGAAGAAGGATCTTGGCACTCATATCGGTTCTCATGACGTTTGCATAAGTGCGTTTAGCATGACCTTGTGTCGAGGTTGGGATCCGAGACTTGACACTTTGCGATCGCATTACCGAAACGTGCTCCGTACACAG